AAAATAAAAGGCGCCCAGCACTTAAATAAGTTATATTTTTGAAAATGTCTTACCAGGGAGGTTATTTAGGCAAAGTATGAGCAATTTCGATTTTTCTCAACTGTCCGATGGTTCTCGACCGTTACAGACATTGACTCTTAAGATTCCATTTGCCTTTACCAATTAGTCTATTTACTAAAACGATATAAAAAAAGATATCCACTTCGTAGAAACTACTGCTTTATAATTTGATTTGCATTTTAACACAAAACAGAGTTATGCGGTGTATATACATTCATGGCATGGCATTCGGTGATTGGTCGAATCAGACAATAGAAATACCGATTCCATTATTCCTCTTGTACTGTGTTTACTGTCAAAGAAGCCTGCCATCTTTTGCCACGTTGCCAGTCATTTGCTTAGCAATTTTAACTTGTTTAATCGAACGACACCATAAACCCAGCTGTTTTATTACTCAATAACCTTCAGTGGGAACGATACAAGGTGTTCGTAGGATCTCGAGGGGAATATTTATCATGAAGACCGTTCTTGTTTGTGTTTTACTGGTGTTCGTATTCAGCTGTTTTGCTGCACAAGATGAAGCTACTCACAAAGCTCATGTTCATGAAGACAAGTTAGCTGACGCTGATCATTATGTAGACGGTGAACACAACCCTGAACACGACCATGAGGCATTCCTTGGAGAAGAGAAGGAAGAGTTTGACCATCTATCCCCTGAAGAAGCTAAAAAACGGCTCCGCAACTTAATCAAGAAAGTTGACACTGACAAAGACGAAGCCATTACAACTGAAGAACTGACAGATTGGGTTAAAAAAGTCTTTGATGAGCGTTCTTTAGTTGGTGTTGATAAAGACGTAGAGGATAAAGACTCAAATAAGAATGGTAAAGTAGAATGGGATGAGTACGTTAAAGGAACGTATGGAGAAACAGGAGAAGATGATGAAGAAGTTAAAGAATTGCTGCAGAGAGACAGACGTCGGTTTGATGCAGCTGATAAAGATAAAGATGGAGCTCTGGATAAGAATGAATTTGGTACTTTCCTTCACCCAGAGTCTTCTCCAGAAATGGGAGACATCCATGTCACCGAAACAATTGAAGGTGGGTTATTTTTTTTGCCATAATTTTCCCCCTTATAAACTTGAACTCAATGGTGCAAAAAAACTACAATCAAGAAAAATTGAAAAAATAGATAAATGTACTTGAGGAAAGAATCTGTATTCAAGCGATGGATAATATCCCAGTTTTCAAGCATATTCAGAACATTTACCTTATATAAGCAGGTGCCTTTATTCAAAGAAGTATTTGTTGACAGAAAATGTGCTCATTTTTGATCATAAAATTTTTACAAGTTGAAACAAGTTTTTATGCAAATATTGCTACTTTGTTAGAAATGTAAATTTTCTTCCTGTTTCAACAAGTTTTTTCAAAATAATTAAATGGAATCCAACCTTTTTTTTCTCATTCAAAGTTATCATTTTTCTGATCATTGACCATTTTTCCCCAATTATTTTTTCTTACGATTCTTGAACAATGCTTTCCCAAATTTTCTCCCTTATATTTTAGACCATTTTCCCAAAAATTTCAGACAGCACTTTAAATACAAGTAATTTGTCAACATAGAAGGCTTTTGGCTATGGAAACTACTTAGTTACCAACTTTCTTGATAGAAGTACTTTAAGATTTCTTTCTTTATCTAAGTTAATTGCTGGCCACAAAAAAACCTTATCATACCTCAGTCCCAATCACATATTTTCCTCCTTCAACGTAAACTATAATATGCCAATCGAGAAATGAATTTCTCACAACTACAATTTTTTCCCTGTTTTCGGCTTTTCATTTTTAATTTTTTTCTTAAAAGAATACACAATTTTGTTGTTTCTAATTTATTTTCAATTTATTTTTCTAACCTAATTGTGTGATTCTTAATCACTTTTTCTAATTAGTTTTCACAGAAACAATAAATTAAAACAGCTTAACAAACAATCAATCAAATTCTTGGTTCCCTAGGCAACCATCCTTTTTTTATTGTTTTATCTTCTACATCCTTAAGCTAAGATTTGTTTTAGGATTCTTTCATTGTACCAATATTAATTTTCATACATATCTTTGACTATTCAATTTGTAAATCGAAATTTTTGAGTTTGTGGATGAAGGAATTTCCAATAATCTAGAGAAAATCCCTCAAAGTACAGTAAAGATCCTTCATCCTTTACTTGATATATTCATTTTTTTAACTGATACCCTGAAACAACCATGGGAAGGCTAATTCACAGATAACATTGTTGTATCTGAAATTAAAATCATTTATTCTGTTTCAGATATTGACAGAGATAAAGACGGTTTTGTCAACCTAAAGGAATTCCTAGGAGAATATACTGACGACGAGTCTTCAGAAGCACCTGAATGGGTTCATGAAGAGACCAAGAGGTTCCATGAAGAGTATGACAAGAACAAAGATGGAAAACTAGACAAAGATGAAGTAAAGCAATGGATTTTACCAGAAACAGATCACATGATGGCTGTAGAAGAAGCCAGGCATCTAGTAACATCAGCAGATGAGAATAATGATGGCAAGTTAACTATTGGAGAGATAGAGAAGAATTATGCTCTGTTTGTAGGAAGCGAAGCCACTGACTATGGTCGTGCACTTCCTCATAGCGAACTTTGATAAGCAATAATAACACTAGTAACCTAAATATTACAATCATTTCATCTGTTATCTTTATCAACTGACCTACTTTAGACAATATATATGGTATCTATCCTAAATAACTAGTTATTATTGCATATCTTAAAAAATTGTTATGACTTGCCCTATAGTGCAGATAAAACATAAAAATATCTTTCCTTGCTTTTGAAGCTGCTCCCATAGGGCTCTACAAGCAAGCATTTTAATTTCTGTTTAATGAAAAAACTGTTCAGATCCATTACTTGAAACATTTACTTGCAAATGTTTACTAGTAGATTATTTTTCAATTAGTCAAGAAAAGCACTAGTTCTTTTGCTAGTCACAAGTGCTTGTTTCATGTTGCTGTAGCATATACAGTCAATTCAAAAAACTTTGTCGTTGACTGGCTCAAGCCTACGCGACTGGACCAAAAGGAATATGGGTAAAAATCACTGAAGCGGTTAAATATTTGTTTTGAATTAATTGTTCCCGCTAGTAATAAGATAATAATGGCAAGAAACAATCCATCAAATGCATGTCTTCGGGTTTAGGGAAAAAAAACAAAGTAGTTATGATTCAGTTCACAATCCCGAAAATATGGAGGCATTAAAAAACGTCTCCTTCAACACTTCCCGCTCGCCTACGAAGGTTCGTGCTGTAAACCAGGCATAACTAGTCAGATAAAATTATGGAGTCAATTCGGCCGAATGATTGCTACCCAGAGTTCCTTTCCGTCCAGTCGTGTAGGCTTGAGTGAGTCGATGACAACATTTCTTGAATTGACTGTAGATCTATTGTTGTTGTAGAAATCTTTGGCAGTTTTGTAACCAAATTTTTCATATCATTATATCTCTTTCATAAATCATTTTCATAGATAGTATTTCAGTGTGATAATTTCTAATCAAATTTATTATAATTTGCCGTCCATAATTGGGCAGTAGAATTGATTTTACAATAGCTTTACATCATGAATCACTAAATCAAAATTATCAATAAAATCGTTTTGCTACTTGATTGGGGTGCCTGTGGTGAAGGTGGAGGTGTGATGGACTGGGAAGCACATTCTTTGTGGTGAGTAGTTGATTCATGTTACTGTAGTGATTAAGAAATGTGAAAAGCAAGGCTACCTTTTGACACAAAAAAAAACATGCCCCTCCCCAATTTTTGCCTCTCAAGAGTGACCCCCTCGATGTTCAAAACATGGTTTCACCAGACCCCTGAAGTCAACTCCTTCCTTTAATGGTATCATAGTTTATTGTAATGTTTCATTAACACAGCTGACTCAATAACAGATGGTAAAGTTTTCACCAAATCACGACAACAACCTTTTTAACTTATTAAACTTTTTGAAATGGAGGATTTTTCTCCAGTTTTCCTGCCTTCGCAAAACCCAAAAGGTGTGAATTATTTTTTCTTATTCCAAAAGCCGCTGGCCTTGACCTGCGCATTTTTGGTCTGTAGAGAAAACAAAGCGCATGTGAAAATGTTATTTTCCTGTAAGATACAAAGAGAACCTGAGAACTGCTTTTTCAGCGAATCCTGTTCAACAGCGCGGCGACAATGTCGTAGCGCGCAAGCTAAGAAAACTTATCTACCTTTTTCACCCATTCTTCATGCTTCTAATCTTTCATTTGAGTATTGATTGCTTCATCATCTAATCCGTATTGTTTGGTAAAGAGAGAGTCAAGTCATTATGTTTGCAGCTCTCTTTACTCAGCTGTTTCATTGTGATTCCTAAAGCATTCACGGCAGACGACCATTGGCTCAAACATTTTGCGCTAACATGGACAACTTCTATTGGACAATCCTCCTAGACTGCGTTAATTTCTTCCAACATTAATCGCCCTACATTCTTATTCTTGATTCAAAGTTATCCTTTGCAACAAGCATTAGTTTATTTTTGAAGATTGGTAGCTTTTTTTAGAATGTTACATTTGAAGAATTTGTCCATTTTCTTGTTAAGTTTATTTCTATTTTTACTAAATAACGAATGCGAATGCACAGTCGAGCCCCACAAAGACCATCTCTATAAGCACGAGCATTTCACGGGATCAAATGAGCACGATGTTCGCTACGATCACGAAGCATTCCTCGGGCCAGACGCGGAAAAGTTCGAAGACTTTCCACCCGAGGAATCGAAGCGCAAACTTAAAATTATCGTGATAGCAAGAATAGACACGGATAAGGATGGTTTTGTGAGCGAGGGAGAACTGGAAGCATGGATTGAAAAACAGCGCAAAGCATTCATGTATGAAGCTGTGGAGAAGAATATAAAGAAGGAGGATAAAGATGGCGATGGAAAGATCTCTTGGGATGAGTATAAGTTAGAGTACTTTGGTGAATGGGATGATACTAATCTACCTAAGGACCACGTAAGTCCAACACTTCAAACATTGCGCACTGTATAATCGATTGTTTAATTGGTTTATCCCATTTTACCCAATAAAGTAAAATCATATCTTGTATTATACTATATATATGACTCCTTGCATGAGACGTCGCAAATCACGTGACTTGTTTCGGGCCAATTAATATCATCGCGAAATAAACTATATTTTATATAAGTTCCACTTTTTATATCTAATGAATAAATGTATACGTAAATTCTAACGTCTGTATATCATAAAATTTTCAATAATAAGCAATATAGCACGAGCGCGTGTTTTTTCAATGAGCTCCTTTTAAATTTTCATTCATTTTTATATTTTGATAAATTTATACGTGCTTTTGTTTTTTAATATAAACATGGTAGTTGGTTAATCAGCGCGCCCCCCGAGTAATATATAGCACAGGTGCTTAGATTAATCTCGTACCCAGAGCCTGCGTTTCCGTTCTGGCTGGGTACGAAATTATTTGCGCACACTTTCATATATGCGCGCGCAAGCAATGATATGCTATGACTAATACATTTACTGGTTCATTTAGAATCTGCGTCGTCAGATTCACAAGGCAGACCACAAGTTCAAGATGGCTGATGAAGATAAAGATGGTAAAATGGATAGCGACGAATACGTGAACTTCCAACATCCTGAAGAAACCAAACACATGGAAGAATTAGCAATAGACGAGATCCTCGAGGATGTCGACCAAGACGGCGATGGGTAAGAAGGATAGGAAATTGAAATGTTGTTTTCGGGATCCCTGAATGAAGTAGGGTAGTTCTTGTATTCTGCCCAACTTTGCGCAACACCTTGGAGCCCGAGGAACTAAGTTGGCAACTATCACGTGTCACCCTCTCTAAATAACGACGATTATCATCATTAAGTCACCACAGGGAGCCCATGTAATATATTTTGGTTTTTATTTCAGATTCATAACTGTAGAAGAATTTATCGGACAGTATGGCGATAAGGAGAACGCGCCTGCCTGGGTCGAGCGTGAACGTAAGGAGTTTGCTCGTCAATTCGACAAAGACAAAGATGGGAAACTAAACCGTGAGGAGGTTAGAGACTGGGTACTACCAGAGAGAGGCGAGTCATTGGACGAAACAAAGCATTTGATCGATGGGTCGGATGACAATGCTGATGGTCGTCTCTCTGTAGACGAGATTCTAGTTCACTGGGATTTGTTTGTAGGAAGTAAAGCTACCGATCATGGCGAGACGTTACGGAAAATGAAACACGATGAATTCTGAAGGAGACGACATTTAATAGAAGTCAACGCACTTGATTAGGGAGTCGAATATAATAAACAACTCTCCTAGTTTATCAACCGTTTCTTGTCTTTAAAGGTACAAGCTTTAGTTATAGATTATATAGATTCTTTCTAAAAAATATATAACAGTTTTTCTTTCTTCAGAAAGGAATTAAACCTATTTCGCTCATTTACAATGATATTGTTCTAAGTAAACTATTTTATAAAAATCATGAAAGCGTCTTTGGTTAAGTTTTCCATTCAGCTATTTTATGTACACCCGCCAAGAAATGAAGAGAAGTATCAAAAAATATTTAGAAAAATAAATGTAAATCAAACAGCTGGTATCGTTTTTATATATTTTGTCGCCCATACAATTTATAAAGTATCTGTCCTAAGCGTGATATGATGTTTGTGAATCTTGCTTCACACAAGCCTTGTCTTCTGGCCATCAAATCTTTGAATCTTCGGTAAAAGAAGAAAACAAATGGCGAATCTCGTTGCGCTTGCGCATTGCAATATCATCATACCGCTGTCCATAGATTTTATAGATTGCTTTTCGTCTCTCACGTGCTTCCGTTATAGTCATCTTGGGCTCTTCTTCTGCTAGTTTCCTGTCACAGGACGGGGTAAGACCGCTGACAACCTTGACTTTGAGCTTTCGTTTTGTTTCGGCGGTTGCTAAGGGTAACTGCGGTTGTTGATCCTTAGTTGCTATGACGGGCAAACTAGGCTTCTTAGAATTCTAAAATGATCAAAGAAAGGAATAAAAAAATAATATTGAAAAAGTTTGGTAAAAAAGGGTTTGAGTGGTGGGTTACCTGTGCTCTAAGAAGTTGCGCGTGCCAGTAATTGGACCTGGTGACGACTCTACCAAAGTGTTTATTTATTGCTTCCAACCTACAGACAAAGAGTATCATCTGGTTATTATTATGACTGAATTGATTTTACACAAAAACTCCAAAAGAATCTTACTCTTTGGCACATTTCAACTTGATCTTTGCCTCCTTTTGATCTGCTCGTTGAGACATCCAAGGTGTTCGCATCACGATCTTCGAAAAAAACAAGAGTCATCATTATTAAGCACAAAGATTTACTTTTAAACAATAGGAATACTTTATTAATATCAACCGTGCAATACTCCAAGATAAGTACCTGGTTAGTTTCAGTGACTGTCGGTGAAAGGGACAGCAGTTTTATATTCCTACTGTCTCCTGACGTCAGCTGTTATGAACAAAAATATAAGCTCATGATATATTATAAACCATTATCATTACCATCATTAGTCACCACCATCATCACCACCACTATCATCATCATCATCCATTAACATCATCATCATCACCATCATCATCACCATCATCAGCATAATCATCACCATCACCCATTAACCTCATCATTATCAGCATAATCATCACCATCATCCATTAACATCATCAGCAGCAGCATAATCATCACCATCGTCACCAGTCACCATGCACAACCACCATCATTATAACCACCATTACCATCCATCATCATCCGGCATCGTCGTCGTCGTTATCATCATCATCGTTATCATCATCATCTTCCATCAAATAGAGAATCAATCAGTAACTAAAGTGATCATTAAATAAGACTTGCCTCTCGAGTTGAGGACAGATGAGGTTTGATTTTCACCATCTCCATGTTTCCTGTTCAGAAAAGAGAACAACATATTATTAACGTCCCATTAACTGTATGTTGCTTAGAAACTCAAGCACAGTCTTGTTCTGATTACCTAGCAGCCAGGAAACGACCTTAAGGTGCCCCCTTTACAACTGTGCCTCCTCGACAACAGCGCCCCCTGGTCTTCGTTTCTCATAGTTACCTAGCAACTAAACCTAAAATATTAATCGCACATGGTTACCTAGCAACCCAGATAAGATCTTCAGAGCTCCCTTAATCATGATTTGGTTATTTTCATTCTTGTTAAAGAGCAACGACTGGCCAACTTCATAAAAGCCCACAGACATCAGGAAACGTTGGATCTCTTTATGACACCATAAAGATCGCACCATGAAGTCAGACGTCTTGACGATCCTTGTTGGGTATTTGGTCGTGATACTCAGCTAAGAATATCAAACAAACAACTGGTCAAAAATGAATCAAGGACGACTTGACTTAGCAAGGCTCTAGAGAGAGTAGACACGCACTGAGAGATGGGGAGGCCAGAGGAAGCAGGACCTCCATGCATTAATGCAGAATTAATGCACTAATGCAGTCTTGGTGCTCATATTTAGGCAACCTTCCCTTTCCTTACCAGTTCTTTCATTTTGTCCATATTGTTTTGAGTTAATATCTTCATCAATCTACCCAGAAGGTGTCCAGCAAGTCCCGACACTTCAAAAATAGCTGCAAAAATGATAGAAAATTACAGTTGACATCAGACAAATTGCTGGATTTCAAACAGCTGATAAACTGATTGAATCTCATTATCTGCTCCACATGGTGGTCAAACACTGAACACCATGTGCTGTCAACCAGAAAGAATTCTATTGAAAACTTGTGATTCAGATGATGAACATTCCGCACGAGACAGGAAATGACGTCAAGTAGTGAAACCCAGCACTATGTACTTACAACAAGCCGCATCCAAGATAACCGCACTTGTCTCTAGTGTGCTCTCGTAATCCCAATGAGGAAACACAACAAACGGGTCTTTATCCTTCGCGCCATCTTTTTGAAAATTAAATCCAAGGAAAAGAAGCAAGTCTTGGGTGAATGGAGCGTCGAGTACGCTAGAATTGAGCTGCGAAGACATGACGATCTGGTTCAAGCTTCGCCCCTCTTCGTAAGACGCCAACATGCTGTTTGCTAGCTTCACCTAAATTGCGTAGAATCCAACATCACGTTAATAACATGTTACCAATGAAATGTTTTACAATAATAAGCGCTGTTCGTTCCAGTGGATACGCGCCTTCCTGATAAGGGTGTTTTCCACAGGTAATCCAAAAGTACCTGAATCCCATTAGGCTTACACATGGTAAACAGCTAACCAACTATTTAATATATACATCACTAATTCCCACAACACATCGACACGGTCACGATGCCTTAAGTATTCATTGCCTTACTTACCAAGTCTCGTAGAGCCGGCAGAACCAGGGGAAGTGAACCGTGCTGGAGCATCAAGCTCGTGAGAATTTCTCGAAACTTGTCAGCTTTGGCTGCGCAAATTAAACAAGCATTAGAAAACTTTTATACTGTATGGTATTGGTAGAGTTACCTCCATATATCCATGAAAATTTTTGTAAGAAATTCCACAAATTTGCACAAATTAGACTGTAGACCTACTGAGGTTTACTGAACTTACTATTTTGTGCAATTTCTTACGAATTTTTTCACGGATATATAATGCACTCTATTCAACCTAACTAACCTTTGTCGTTCAAGGTACCAGTAGAGGTCCTAATACCGAACCTGTGGCATCCCACAAAGCCAACCTCTCGGTCCAGTAATTGATCGTAGAGATGATGTCGTAGTTTAAGCAGGTTGAATGATCCATCAAATCCGATCATGATATGAGAAGACCAGAAGACTGGATTCGATAGCTGATCTGTTGACCTTATATGGTTGTAGGCTTGTGTTATTGCGCAACTTATCGTTTCTTCCTGAGGGAAAAAAATAAGATAAATTATTCAAAACTACTTGGAAAAATAAAAAAAAATTGCAAAAAAAAAAAAAAAAAAATCAAATAGATAAAAAAGAAACAAAAAAAATAATGAAATAAAAAAAATATATATTTGCTCGAGGTGGGATTTGGACCTGTCTTAATAATAATGTAAAACTTTACATTCCACTGGGGGATTTGGACCTAAGCAAAAAAAAAAAAAAAAAAACTTTTGTAATCGATTCTAATGTGCCATACCCCCGAGACATCCGCAGAGCTGGGGCGTCGTATGGACTTCGGACCTGACGGCGATTAAATCCTTCTGCCCTTGGGTGTACGAATTACGCAAGAAAATGTTCTAGCCGAAGCATCAGGGGAGAGACCAGCCGGCCCCCAGACCATATCGGCTAATCCCTTGCATCTCTGCCACGCACGGAATCGGTTGAAAAACTACTGTTAAAAAGTCTAGTCTATCCGGTGCATTGTTTTCATCGCTATTGTTGTGCAAATTTCATGAAACCGTGGCCCAGTGGCAAAAACTTGGGTATTCAAGATACTAAGTCAAGCCCGTCTAAGGCGGGTTAGCAACTGGATGGGTGACCTAAAAGTTGTACCTACTCAAGCTTTTTTTCTATTTTTTGCTTTTTTTATTTGTAATTAATAAAATATATATCGAATTACTTTGAGTTTTTTTACTGTTTTTGCTCACAATTGGCAAATGTAATCGCTTCCTGCCTATACCTAAATACTTTGCCCAGTTTTCTGCCAAGCGACAGGTTAGCAACTAGTCTCCCATTCGTTTTTGTCAAGATTATTATAAACCAGCATTTAACTAATTCTAAGAACCAGGATTCTTATTATAAAACAAATATTAGCTGTTCACACGTTAAGTGACAAATTGGGTCGAGTTGATTACAGTCAAGCATTGTGGGATTGTCTTAGGGAACGAAATAAACGCCATCTTGGAAATATGCCCCTAAAACRATCCCACAATGCACTCAGTCTTTTCCTCAACCTGTTAATGGCTAATTAAGCTTGTTCTTACTAACCTTTTCCAAGCCACAATACAGATAGTGGTAAAAGTTCATTAATGTTAGTTGTTCAACAGACCAGAGCGAGAGAATGACAGCCTTGGCACCAGCTGCCAACAATGCTGTAGCTAAACTCAGATTAACTTGCTTGAGATAGCAGAACTTGTGACTGCAGCCACAGCAGCTGCTAATGACGATCAACTTGGCTGTCAAATCTATTGAAAGTAAGTCTGACACAGATAATAAATACGAGTCCTCAAGTGGCTTGTCTCCATGGCAATGACGGTTCGGTGTGAATGCCAAACAGCCCTTTTTCCAGCTACCATACGTCACAAGATGAGCGAGTGATGACTTAGATAAGGTTTCTGTAATGCACTCTTTCGTTGCCTGGCAACCAGTCACGGGTTCTACACCTAATAGCGTTGCTATGGACGTTACTTCTTTTTCCGCCAAAAGTCCTTCACCTGGTGGTTGCCAAGCAACTCCGTTCAAATCAACACTCGGGATTTTTGGGTTCCCTGCGACTAAGATTTTGAAATTCTCGTCACTTGTAGCCTTTCTTGTAGAGTTATTGTTGAGGGACAAAGCTCGAACACAAGGCATTATGGTGATACAGTACTTCTCGTATAGATATTCCCCTCTCGAGTTCTGGAGGCTCGGAAAAGGAACCATGGTCATTTGTGTACCTGGTACAATAATCAGTTTGTTTGATAAAACATCTTTGTCTTCCCTTTCAAGTTCTTCCCTGAATGGCTCGATTAATATTTTGTACAGCATTTGCAAGGGCTTAAAATTTGAATTCGAAAAATGACAGGAAAAACAAGAGCTTTTTTGTTTGGCGCCATTTTGTTCTTGTACAGATGCCCTGCTGTCTCCATCAGGTAAAGATCTTTGGTCGCATTTGTAATTCATTTGGTGGCCGTCATGAAGTTTCTCTATGCAATCCTTAATTCTCTCCTCAACAGATAGGTGTTCGCAGCTCTTGTGCCTGTAGAACTTCAAAACGCCTTTCCCAGGACCCAATAACCAGCTCATGAAACCACTTTGAAGACAGGAATACACCAGTACTAAGCTCTCACTAGTATCAACCAATTTGAAGATCTCCGCCGCGTTATAAGGTGAAAGATCTGCGTGTAGAATGCCTTCATCAGTTCTCAAGATATCTCTGCTTCTGAGAATATTAACTAGAAGTTTGGACTTCCAGTGTTCGCAGATTTCTAAGGCTTCTTTAACACAGTCCATTTCTATCAGGACTTCCTGTAAATCTCCATAACAATCTGCTAGCTTGTCTACTAGTTCGTCGTCATACATCACATGATTTTTCTGTTTCATGAACAGCCTGTGTTCAAGGACTGGAATAACCTCGTTGTAATACTGACGACATTTTTCATGCAGGCGTAGCGCTTTCATAATCTTTGCAAGAGAATATCTGGCGTTTAACTCTTCTTGTTTGTCACCAATTTGAGTTGCCAGCTTTAAGCATTGTTCAAAGTTATGCTGAGCGCGATAAAGCTGGTTGAGCTTCCAGTAGCAAAGACCGATCAACCCATACACTTGGCACTGTAAGCTTTCTTCTAGTTTATTGACCTTCACTTGGCTAAGGTGTTTGTCATACTGCTCCAATGCTTTACCGTACTCTCCCATTAACCTGAACATATCTCCAAGCTGCTTTACTGCTACAAGTTCACACACTCTATCCGAAATGCTCTGTGCTAGTTTGATATGCTGCATGTGATTGATCTCAGACTGTTTGAAATTCTTCATAGCTGCGTAAACTTTGCCAACATTACCATACGCATATGCCATCGATTCCTTGTCATCAAACTTCTTCGAGAGTCGTACCTCCATCTTATGACACTCAAGGGCAGAAGCGTGATTCCCTAGAAGGAGTTCCAGTTGACCAAGATTGGAATACGCAACAGTCAAGTTCTCTTGATCAATGACTTTGAGCAACTCCATGTACTCGTGCGCGTAGCTGAGCGCTGTTTTAAAATCTCCTAGTGATTTGTAAGCTGCAGATAAGTTCCACACAGCTTTGCGCTCAATATCCTTGTTCCAGTACGCTTCATGGCAATTCATATCACCCTTTTCCAAGTCCCTTCCGACGGCAAGAAGTTTACCATTGTAGGAAATAGCTTGCAGGTAGTCACCCAACCTTTTGTGAATATTTGACAACTGTACATAAGATCTGAGTTCGTACTTTTTACTCTCACATTCCAAAGCCAGCATTAGACACTGCTTGGAGTATAAGAGAGCTTGTTTTAGCTTGCTTAAAGCGAAGTATGAAAGACCAAGTGTCGCCAAAGCTGACATGATACTTTGGAAATCAATTGTGGGTGATTTTTCAATCTTGTCTTCATCCAATGTCGTCTCACTCGCATCACCATGGTAACCGGTAGTAATGTACATGGAGGAGAGACAATGCTTCTTAGTCGGTGCTAGAAGGTGTTCACTAATGCTAGCAAGAGAATAATGACTGTCATCATTGTCCATTCCTTTGGTTTCCGAATCTTGAAGCCACGTGCTTGACTGGCTCTGCAGGATGCAGTGTGACGTAAGAGCAGCCATGAGAATCTCAATTGACAAGCTATAGTTCTTACTCTCGTGGAATCTTTTCCCAAGTAGGACAAGAATTTTGAACTTTTTGGCATCATCACTATCACCTGAAAATTAGTTTAATGAAAATATGTCAATCAAAGTGAGAAAATGATGGAAGACGAAAGAAAAGATTATGTTTAAGAAATACCCAGAAACAAGATAGAATGTTGAAAAAAGTCTTTAAGGTAAATTTTGAGCACTTTTTCATGAGTCTGTAACACTAAACGTCTTGATATCCTAAAGGTGGGAAAAATTAACTTAAGATTCATTACTAATCAGAATTTCACAGATAAAAGCAGGTATAGTGTACATCCGTTAGAAGAACGCTTATATTTTTGACATTTTTTACGGTTACCCCCAAATTGCAAAGCATCATGGGGAATGTGAAAATATGGCGAATGGTATTTTTATTTTATCTTACCATCTTGAGTGAGGTTGATTTCTTCATCCTCTGACAGTTGACAAATACTGCCAGCTACCTGGATTATACTTAGCATCAGTCCAAGTGGGTGTTGTGAGTCACGTTCATATGCCGATAAGAAGAACTTCAACGCATCAGTGTTGTTACCCAGGTTCTCTAGAGCTACAGCTTTTAGAAAATAACCCTGGAAAAAAATTGATGGTTAATTCGCTGAGTAGCAGAAAAGGAACGTCAAAAAACCTAAGTGGATGAGACAGGGAAGGGGGGATGCCTTCAAATTTCAGCGTACGTCTTATATGCTAGCTATTATTTTTAAGTTCAAGCAGTGCGCACTCTATTCAGCACAAAGATATCAAACATGAACCATTTCTTGTTTTATTGATTCTTACCTTGGGTTCATTCGGTACAGCTGAAATCAACCTCTCTGCATCATTCTTAGCCTCATTATACATGTTGAGCTTGCTGTAGACAACTGATCTACAGCCCAACACTTCCTCATCATCAGGAACTAGAGATAACGCTTCTGTGTAGTAAGATATCGCTTGGAATAGATCATCCTGCCCAAATGCTCTGTCTCCTTTGCTCTTTAATTCTGAAAACTAAAATGAGAATACGACACTAAAATGAATTCATCTTAAGCAATAAACTAGAGAGATCTGAACTGTTACAAATAGGTAAGTTTGAATATCGAACGCTTTGTTATTCGCGGCAGTGAAATGGCTCCTTTTCGAACCCTTTCTAAAAAAAAAACAGCTGAATGGCTTTCAAGAACGAATAAAAACTAATTAACGTTTCACTATATTTAAATAAATCAATACCATCCAAAACTTACCGGCGCCATCTCAAATTGCTAACTAAAGCAGCATAATTCAAGCCATGATTTTTGAAGTGTTTAAATCAATAGAATTTGATGAAAATGATCAAAGACACAACAAAGAAACAGAACGCCAATTTGAACCTTGAAAATAAGATAGAAATTATAGCTTGTTCGGGAATATTCTTTTCACGCAATGAATATGATAAAATTAAGAATATGTTATCGGGGAGATAACTTTCTAATGTTCAAAACTCGATCAAAAAACAGTCCTTCAAAAGACGTCAACTCAAAAATGCTCRATGTCCGCCATCTTGTATTCTTGCTCGTAACCCCTGGCAACCAGCTGTTTAGTACCCAGTCTCGCGCTGTTTATCTAACTCGGTCCCAGTTTATTTCGGTTGTGGATAACAACGCCTGGTTGAAAAGCACATCTACCTGTCTTTTTGTGGTTCGTTCTTTCATTGAAGTGTTTCGAGAGTTTGCGCTTTGAAAAACTGATTTTAAATATCATTTCTTGAACTTAGAGAAGATATTTTAATAGCTTAGGTATCAATTGGGAAGGTTTTATCTCTGTGCGCCATTATGGCGAAACTAGATTTTTATCATTATTTAAAAACTTTGTTCAGTATTTCTCTTGTTGCTATTCTCTATTGTTCCGTTTTTGTTCAAAGCAGCAACCAAGATCTAGAGGGTTTTACGAGGTGGTTGAACGACCACGGTAGCAAATTTCGTTGTGATTTTGTCGGCAAAAGCGAAGGCAATGTTTTAAAAGAGGTTGAAGTCCAAGCAGATCGTAGAATACATGATGGAGAATCTGTCTTTATGGTTCCACAGTCGTTACTTATTAATTCCACGGTCGTCGATAGGTAAGTTTAAAAAAACTATTAAGTTTAAGTAAAGAGCGTTCATTTATAAGGCAAGCCACACGACCATTTTTGTTTCATACTACCTTTATTGAACTTTGCCATGATTTAAAACATTATATTATTGTCAATATTTTTCTTCTTTTAAATTTTCTTTTAAAATAAGTGCTCATTATCTTCAGCTCCCCTCTAGGTCCAAGTTTGGACTTAGTGTCCCTAACGGAGCCCATTATATCTCATGAAAAGGACCTGGAGAAACAAAACATTCTGCACATCGCTCAGCTGTCACTGTTTATACTTTATGGAGTTCACACTAAAGACGAAATGTGGTTGCCTTATTTCAAGCTTTTAATGATGAAAGAGAGGTAAGGTTAAGTATAAAAAAGATGTTTCTCAAAAATGCTGGTCTTAATCCATGCCTGTGGTCACTAAGACTTTGGAGAGGGTAGTTCATATTGTCATTGGTTGAAGTAATGTTTAAAAAAGGGAGGGAGGGTGATTAGTTCACGCATTCCAACCAATCCTGGTGGTAGATTGAAGATTTGATCTGCAAACAATAATACAGGAAACCACAATGGACAATGGAGGGTGGCTGATGTCCCATTAATAAACAGATTTTAACTTTGACCTCATGACATAGTCCAGAACCAACATCTTGTTTAATTGGAAATAATTGTTGATGGGTATGTAATTTTAACTGTCAGGAACTGTGATGTTCTCTGGATGTGGAATGACAATGAACTGGAAGAGTTAGAAGATATTGCTTTGATGAAAAGAGTCCAGAAATGGAGAGAAGAAATACACATGTTGGCCACAAATATTGCTCCCAAACTGCAAGCCATGGGAGTATTTACCTCTGAAATACAGGAGGATGACATTGTAGGTATCCAAGGGCTCTTTTTAGCAGACTTCCATAACTAGGCTGTTAATAATGCCAAAAATTCTTGAAGATGGCTAAAAACTTTATATGGCAATGCGAGGAATTTTACCATTCAATTAGTGTGTGACCCTCTACTTTTTATTTCTTTCCTGTAGTATCATATACTGATTTTGAACTTTTTATTTTTATTTTAGAAAAATGCAATGTGCATTGCTCAGTCTAGTAGCTTCAATATAACCAGTGCTTCTGGACAGCCAGTCAGAACTTTGATACCTGTAAGTATATACATGAAAAAAATTCAGTTTACCAGGAAGAAAAGACTCTGTTGTTGTGCCTCCTGTCATGGCTGCCATCACATAATGATGCAAAACCTCTATACATGATTTAAAAAGGGTCACTTGTAACCTTACAAAATAATCCCTCCCTCCCCTTCCCCATTACAAATAAACTGCCAATGGGACTGAAGAGGCGTCCCAGGGGCCACAGGGCCACAGGCACCCCAGGATCTCCCCATGGATCCATGGATACACGACTGTATACGCTTTTGTTTGTTGTTTCCACAGGGCTTGAACTTCTTCAGAATGAACCCCACTGTCAAGAGCTCCTGGTGGGTCAAAGACGGCGTTCTACGATACAGATACAACAAAAATCCCATTGAAAAAGGCGATCAAGTGTTTGTCAATCTAAGTCCTTCTGGTGATAGCACACAAACATTGTTCGAGTACGGTGTATTTGTTGTTGATGGAAGCAAGTTCCTGATTCACTTACGAGAACCAAACAGCAGGCTTAGAAGACGTTTCATGGCACACCTCAAGATCCGCAAGAAGATGAAGCTGACCGAGAAGTTTTTCTTCAGGTTGGCAGGCCTACCTTACTTCCGTGTACAAGCATTATCTGAGCTACAAATTGAAAACCTAATGAAGGACGTTGCTGAAAACCAAACACGGCTTCTTGAAGTAAAAGAAGCCATTTCGAGCTACACTATTCACTCAAAAAACGTCCCTGATTTTTCATGCAAAGATGAGGTAGTTGCTTTAAATACGATGGCGGTGCATTTTCGAGACATGCTTAGTGAAAAATCTTCCAGTATTTCTGAAGATGAAAAGCTAATCACAAAATCCACGAATTTCAACAGGCTTAGCTTAGCTATTGCCTATAGACTGCGATTTAAGAAGCTAGTCACTAATGCTTTGGACATGACGAGCGCAAGTTCTGTAGAAACAAAAAGAGAGTGTCTAAGCCAACCCAAAGATGAGCTATAAACTTCTTTCGTTTCATAAAATTGGGAACTTACCTCAAAATAAACCTATTTATTTTGTGGGGAAAAACTGATTTGTTTATCAAAATAGTATTTATTGATAGTAGCTTTATAAATAAGATTATTGTAATAAATGTTAAATATGAATTTAAAATGTAGTACCCTCGTCTTTTTAGTTTCGAACAAACAAAACTGCATGAAGCCATGAGAACGACGCTGCACTAAAAAGACCGAAAAACGTTTTTCATTTTGACGGAGGTCTAATTTGGGCTAGACTCGACCTCGCAAACAGTGAGATCTGAAGTCTATACGACGAAAAGCTTCTTGCTAATTGTGGATTTAAATTTCATAACAATCTTTTGTTCCTCAAGTCTTTTTCAAACGCGCTTCTTTGATTGATGTGTGCGCGCACTAAACTCATTTTTTGCCTTATGCATATTTAGATGACAAAATATGCGTATATTATGCGTACGACAAACCTATGAGCCTGCGATCTTCTTTCAAGCCTGACAGCGGCAATTACCCACAAGTCTGTTCGGGTCGAATTGTTCGGTCTCTCTATACACCAACATCCAAAATGGTGGGTATTAGTTCAATATAGTGTTGAAAATCCGTCTCAATCTTGGCCATCTTTGCTGCAATTATGTTTTCTCTGCTTTCATATGCACTATCAATAATTGTTTTTCGATATACGCAGTAAAATTTATACGTTTCATTACAACAGCATTCAAWTAACCCACGTTTTAAAAAGACAGTCGTGTTGCGAACAGGGGATCCAGAATATAGCTACTTTTGAATTGAATTGCATTTGTTATTATTTGCCGATGACACTAGCCGTAAAATACTTGGTTTTCGTCAGCATATTCCTAAATTTTCTACTGTTAGTACATAGATGTTTATAACAAAACGAACTCGTTATCTGTCATTGCAGACATTATGCAAAAAAACTAAGCAAAACTCACGATCTGATCGTAAAAATGTAGTACTAAGTACTGATAAAATTAAATTCTTGATGCTGGTTTGTTTGCTGAATATATTGTATAAATGTGCGTACAGATGTACCTCATAAAATTATCAAAATGATTGTCAGCTAGTTGGAGCATGTTGCATTTTTATTGGTATAGGATACTATAGGATGTATCTTTTTTTCCACAAGGTGTTGATGATGGCTTGTAAAAGAATGCTACCATAATGAAAAAAATACTTATGCTGGCTTTACAGCTTTTATCTATACTGTAAATTCGAGAACTGTGTGGTTTATTTATAAGAACTTGAATTTATCTATGCTTATTTTCTTCCTGCCTTCTATAGTTAGATACATTCAAGTCGTTGTTTCCAAACGTGTAAATAATAGGTTAGGTTAGCTCATCCACTAGTATAGGTACCTTATTTTTATAGTTGTTGGGCCAGATTGGTAAAAGTTTTACTTTATCTGCAACCCAATAAAGTGTTATTATAGTTGTAGTCGTTAGAGTGCTTTTCGTAAACCCATGAAATACACACTAGCCTAATACAAATTAGTAGACCCTCATTCCATTGTGTTATTTTGTTGTCATTTCACTATTATACACTGATTAATGGTATCTGTTTCATGGGTTTTTGAAAATCACTCTAAAGCATAGTACTTTCATGATTTTTATATTATTTTGGTCTGAACATCATTGCTTCTTGATACACTAGGTGAAGGTTAAAGCTCATGAGTTGCGCAGCAAGAAGAAGGAAGAGCTTGTCAAGCAGCTTGATGAACTCAAGAATGAGCTTTCTCATCTTCGTGTGGCCAAGGTTACAGGAGGTGCTGCTACAAAGCTTTCAAAAATGTAAGCTTTAGTTTATGTATTTTAATTTAATCAAAATTTATTTGTGGCGTAAAAGACTGTTCATTTTTCATCAAGAAGGGGGGAYAGTGTGATTCGTTTGGTATCTCCATATTTGTTTATTGTGAAAATGCTGTGCGACTTTTTTGTTTGCCCCCCTTTCTTGATCCCGATCCAGTAGAGGGGGGTCTAGCAGTGTTCTTAGTCACTCTAGTTACAAAAACTGGGAGGACCAGGACTGCGAGATATTTTATGGCTCTTTCAAGCTATATAGTATTTTTTAGCAGTCAGAAATTTAACTTAATGGGTTTAATTTTTTGCCGACAGAAAGCTCGTAAGAAAATCAATTGCAAGAGTGTTGACAGTCATTAGTCAGACACAGAGGGAAAACTTGAGAAAGTTTTACAGAAAGAAGAAGTACATCCCCCTTGACCTGAGAGCCAGGAAGACTAGAGCCATGCGCCGAGCACTGACTAAGAATGAAGCTGCTCGCAAGACTCTGAAGCAGCAAAAAAAGATCACACATTTCTCCCTGAGAAAATATGCTGTTAAGGAGTAAAGTAATGGTTGTAATAAATGTTCGGAAAATTTGACTGTCTGAATGTCTCTTTTATTATTTGCTAGTTCTGTAAAAGAATGGTTTTATTACAGTCATAGAATTTTAATTCTATTAAATCATTAAAATAAATGAAATGACAAGAAGTGATAAAGAGAAAGGAAGTTGGAAAAAATCTTATCATTTCATTTATTCATTATGATATACACCTAATTAAAAAAACGTCGGGTTAAAAAAAGGTAATATCATCAAAGCTAAGACCGAAGGGGAGCAAGGGAAGACAAACAATTATGCTAATTTCATGCGTATTGCAGTTTTCCCTTCATGTGCACATTTTATGTATCATGGCTTTGGCATGTTGTTAATCTAGGTCAACCGACTTTGCTTCTACAGTGCATTTTTACATGTCTATATGCAAATATAATGCGCATTTCAGAGTACCCAAAATCCTTTTTGGTCTTCGCTTCAATGATATGACCTCGAACCTGACTACGTTTTTTGATATTTACCTTGGAAAACTTTTTTGACTAAAAAGCAATTTGATTAAGTTTTTCCTTCAATAGACTGGTAATGAAAACACTATTCAAATATAAGATCCTCAGGCGGTCACTATGATGGAAGGATATTTTGTATATAAATAAGCACAACAAAATTTCTAAAAAATTTATTGTTATTTGACATTTCTTTCACATTAAGGATATTTAAATTTCTAAAGGAATACGATTATGTAATGATTTTTGATTATCCTCCATGGAGTGTAGATATAAATACTACAGTGTCTTTTTCTTGCAATTCATAATCCAGTTCACCCTTATAGAAACAAAATAAGAAAATGCATTTATAGGGTTAATATGTAGACTTGCCTCGGGTTTACAGGTGGAAGTAGCCTATGCAACTATCCTTAGCGCCTGTCCTGGAAATGTTGCATGACAGACACTAAGGACAGCTGTGTAGGAGGCTACTGTGGAATTATTTAGCTCRAGTTAAGCGAAAGTTTGTTGAGTGATGGATGGGGTTGCACTCCAGCAAAAAGATAAAGGGTAGTGGACTTTGRGATAGCTTAGGGGGATTGGAGTTTTCTGCAGAGGGTATGTTTTCCACCAAAAATGCCAACCAAACTAAGGAAACAATATCCAAGGAACTGCGAGGGTATAATTTAGGATTAATTATGGCTCTGGAATTTCCTGTTGGGGAGGGGATTATTCCCCTTTTGAATAATGGATATTTTCTGAACATAGACAGTACTTACAAGTAATTCCCAGTCAGCATCATTCACCAACACTAGTATTCCAGGCCTCCTAAAGAAGAATGCTAATCAATAACTTTTTACCTCAACAAAGATCCAATGAATTCTACTCTTAGGATGCTGAGTCCTTGAAGCCAAAAACAAGAATCAGAGTACTAAACCTGAACCACACTGGATGATCTATTGATTGCATGACTGCATTATTCCCCCGTGAGGTACTCCCCCACATTCGCTATACAGGTACGTGCCACCAAACAGGGTATGGTTTTCATCGACTCTACTCTGGAACAGGGTACATAAAATCACACTCGCTCTGGGACAGGGTATATGAAATCACGCTCTCTCCTCTCTGGAACAGGGTATCCATTTTCACAATACCAGAACAGGGTATGATTTTGAGCGATCTTGCTCTGGAACAGGGTATGAATTTCAGCGATTTTACTCTGAAACAGGGTCAGGGTTCAGTAGACTCAGTGGCACATCCCTACCCTAAACAGGCAAGAGTACCCCCCCGGGATTATTCCTGCATGATGATCACTGATATTAATACTCACACACTATCTCCCTGCATGAAGAGCTCTGGTCTTTCTTTTAATAAATTATCCCTAATCCATACTAAAAGATGTCTTATAGTCCCTGTAAAATACAAAATATACCATGAATGAATGATAGTCAAGTGCTGAAATGACCAAACGACACAGGAACTCCAAAGATAGACTTCAACATAAAATAAAATAAATGATTTATAATTAATGAACTGATGATAGCTCCAGATACATCAGCCACTCATTTTTATTATTTTTATTAACATATCTAAATAATGGTCCCATAAACAATATATTAGTTATTACACTTACATGATTTATCTGTTTTAGGCAAGCTTACGCCATGATTTTTGACTTTGTTGAATAAAAGTTCAGCTCCTCCACTAAATAAATATAATAGTTAGCTATTTATCGATGAAATAAAACCGAAAACAAGGATAAACTAACCTAAACTGAAGTTGGATATTGAGAAACCCATCCGCCATCTTGGATTAGCAAAACACAGGGAGCCCAAAGATTAGATTAAAAACTGTGTTCCACAGGAAACCCACCACTGGATAAAGAATTTGAAAATTTTATTAAATCTAATATATTATTTATTCAATTGTTGAGAAAAAAAACAACAAAAAACTAAATAAATAGATAAGAAGAAACTTAATGGAAAATAGGGTTTAGCAGTTGATAAGAAGCTTTAAAAGTCCTTCCACTGTATGTGAACTTTGAGACCATACAAGAGGGAGCTACTTTTCACATCCATTGAAAGGATCTAGGTCCCTGTATACACCACAGGGTTCCTTTGCACAAAAAACTTTAGGAGACTTCACTTCATAAGTTTTGTTTCATAGGTTGGACTTCTACTCTTAATCATACATATTAACTGTTTGACTTTTCTCGTTCAAACCTCAAGTCTTTAAACTGCTTTTGGTTAACTTAACTTTAGCTTAAGGTACCAAAAAAATGTTCCTCAAAGAACAAGGCTCTGATTGGATGAGAATCACTTGACATTTAAACCAGTTATGGCATTTATCACAAATCGCAATAACGGGTTTATTGCAAATRCTCTAAAGATAGGCAATGAGACATTAAAGGAAACAACAAAAAATTATTGATACTCTTTTATTGTCAAGATGTAACAATTAACAGTTTCATTTAACTGCGCTTTCTGCGAGATCGTTTCTTCTGTACCCCAGCAGTGGGTTTCTGGCTGCGTAGAATAAGGCTAGCACGTCGAAGGGCAGCATCTTGAAGATCTTGGCGGTAGTAGCCATTGCTGCATAGACTCTTGATTGCCTTGAGAGAGCGGCGTGAGTCTTTAGCTAGAGTAACCTTGTGGTACATCTTGCAAGGCTTGTTGGTAGCTGATATATATAAAACACACATTAATATCCCTGTCCTCTACATGTAGTCATCAACTGAAGTATTAATTGTTTATGCATAAAGCTGCTAATGATAATAATCAATAAATATACCTCCAGATGTCTTCTTGACAGTCAAGACAACCCCCTTTCCACTTGGTGCTTGCTCGACACCCATAACCTGAAGATGAAAGAAAAAAGTGTTAGAAATTCAAAGTGAGGCTTACCTCTTTAGATAGTTATTATTTCTTATACAGGATAGAAACTTGGGGAAAAAATTGGATTTCAAAAAGTTACTTTAAAAAGAACTTACCTTCTTGTTTACCAGACCATTGTACTTGTAACTGTTTATCCCGGTGACATTGTTGGGCTCCTAGACACGAAACCGAAATGAATACATCAAATAATAAACAATATTATTGAATCACAGGAATAAGTAAGGGAGTGGGGGAACTGGCAAGAAAGCTGATCAACAAACAAACATCTTGACTAAAGGACAGACTTCTCTAATATTTCTTGATGCTATTACAGAAAGAAATAACAGTAAAGGGAACTTAACATGCTATGAATTATTTTCAAATTTCCAAGATTATGTTGTATAGACTATCGAAGTGCCTGTTTCGCACACAACCACCAATACCATGAATGCAATTAATAATTCCACTAAAGTGGTGTCAATACCTTGGTAAGAGTCTTGCCCTGGCTTTTGACCAAGAAGCAACTGTTGTTTCTGATAATAGCCCACTGCAAGTCTCCAGACATGATTAGTCTATACAAACAGCAAAAGGAAACATTAGAGWGCAAACAATTAATCCGTGAAACACTAATTACTAAATAGTACAATATAGTGCTAATTAAACAATAGAAAACAATGGAATCTGAATGAAATTGTACTATTTAGTATTACTAAAGTTTCACAGATTTACTGTGGTCACTCTACTATAAAAATAGCAATAAATACATTGTTGAGTACCAATTTTATGAGCATTTTCATTAGAGATTTATAAAAAAAATTAACCCATATTTGGCTATGATGGGCTAAACAAAGGTTTTTATTCTTCTGGGAATCAATCCTGTTATATATGATAAAAAATGATTAATGATACCAGTTGAATCAAATAGTGCACATTGTTGCTACAAATGGTCATACACAAATACAATCAATTCATTATACCAACATCGTTATAGTAGCAACAGTGTATCAAGAGGTATGATGATGTGTATTGAATACTGTAACATTTGAATGGTTTTCTATTTTCTCTCATCAAGCAGATCTCATAAGTGTAATATATTTTAATATTAATTTATCATACACTTTGTGTGACTGTGAACAATAACAGTAAGGTGACGGCACAGATAGTTATCAATGTATGGCAGGGCACAGTATATAAGTTAATTTTACAGTCATACAAAGTCCCTTTTATACCTTACATAAATGAAATTTATCAGAAACCTTGTAAAACAAAGATTAGACTATTTTTACTTCAAAAACAATATTATTTGTTGATACCCAAAGGTTATTATATAGACTTTATGACAAAATACTTTAGAAGACTATAAGACATTGAAAATCTGGCGGTATTGACAATGATAGAGTAGGGATTCATACGGTAAAGAATCCTTCTAAGATCATCCATGTTGGATTTGTTACCGCTGAACTCGACAAAGTACTAGACATTTTAAGGTTAAAAACGACTCATTCATGACTTATTTTGCATGGAATTAAGAGAACAGTCTTTCTTTTATTGATTATAGTACGATTTGAATGAATTAGATGAGAAATAAAAGGTTTTCTGGGTAGATATTTGAAGGTATTACAGTTTTTCACCCACCTTGAAAGGCAACCACGAGAAAAGAGGACTAACATTACGCATGCGCTAACCATGCAGGGGGTCACCAGTACCCAGGACCCACGCATCGTATTCATCCAACATGGCGGACCAACACTTCTTATAAGAAACCCTTGCCTTTTTAATTTTTTTTCGAGCAAAAAATAATGGGTAAAACTGTTATAGCCGAAGAATCCGTCTCTGACTATGTCTCTTCTCTGTTTGGGACTCAAACATGGCGGACTGGGCTTATTCTTGGACAGGTGAGGATTTTTTTTGAATCATATGCTTTAATATGACGTGTAGAAAGGTCATGAATAATAGCATAATATTTGATTTTTTAATGCTTTTTACTTTAAAATACAGATGGGTACTCAGAAATACCACGTTGTACATCTAACTAGGACGCCTGAACAAACTAATAGTGAAGGTAAGTTAATCAAAATTTAATATCTATTTTCTTAAAATGAAGTGTTGTATCTTTATTCCGCCCATCCTAATTCCTTCATTCATTAACTTCTGATAAAGTATTTATGTATCTATTAATTTTTCATCTATCCATACACCTATTTTCCTTTCCATTCATTTATCCTTCAATTCACCGTCTTTCCATTGATTCTCCTATCCTTCCATTCATTTATTCATTCATTTATTCGATTCATCCAAAAATTATAATTTTTCCCCCTGATATAGGAAGCGAGGAAGATGCAGCACCATCCAAAGTCAAACCTTCATCACCAGACAAAATTGACGAATCATGGTTCATTGAACATGCACGACAGGTACATTTTGCAAACACAAGTAACTTATATTAGCAGGCTGTTCTGGACAAGGTTATAACATATTATCATGGTTACCATCTCCAGGTATCTCGTATGCTGGTTGGTGGTCTTGACATTATTGGTATATTCATTTTTGGACCACCAGACATGTTAAGTAAAGCACAAACCAAGGTTAGACAGCTGCTATATTCTTTGTACAAGGCAACATATCTCAGGTTTTCAGCGTTCTTTGATCCAGAAGACTTGGTACACACTAGAGTTATACTTCAGATATGCTCTAAAACTAAAAAGTATCCTCTTTGTGCATCAGCTGATTCATGTTTTCTTTTTTTATTATTGTTATTACTTCTTTTTTACCAATCTTATTCATACCTCATTTCTGTCCTACATCTCTCCTTTCTTCCCTTTCTCTTCTGTCTTCTTTGCCTCATTATTTTTTYCCCATCCATCCATCCATCCATCCATCCATTCCATTCTTCTTTACTTCTCCCTCCCTCCTACTTCCCTTCTATCCCTCTCTCTATCTCTACTTCTATTGCACTTAATTTCTTCATCCACTCTAACTGCCACACTTTCAAAGAAAAAACCTTAACTTATTGTAAGAGTTACATGCAGGACACTGGATATGTCTGATAACAAAGTAAGTATCTATCTGCCATTGCTATCACTTTTTGTGTCATATATACATGTTTTTGTTTTTGTTTTCATTCCTTCCCTCTAGTCCACAGCACAACCAGCTGAATACAAATACCAGTCATTTCTGAGCAGATGGAATACACTTGACACCAAGATATCTCTTGATTATAAATTTAATGTTCCAGTAAAGATGGAGAAAGCAGATCTGAATACCAAAATTATGGTATGTCTTATATTACTCCAATGTTGTCTTGATAAGAAAAGGACTAAAAAATCCATTGTTATGGGTAAATAGTGCCAAGGGATTCAGTTACTCTGTTGATATACTTTTTGCTTTTTGCTCACCGTCTTAGTATTGAAATATCTATTAGTTGTCATAAAAAAAAATTCTCACTTTTCTATTTCACTAAACTTGTAGGAAGGTCTTCAAAGCTACTTACAAGATATATCAAGCTCTGTATGTACAATAAATGGGCAGCTTCCACCTGATGATCAACTTCTAGTTCCCTCAGACAAACAGGTATATGCCCTATGGCTATATTTTCACAGATGGTAGATAACACTTACTTTCTTCATTATTGAATCAACTAGAATTTTTGTGTTATTTTTTTATAGACAAAATCAAGTCAGTTAGGATCATGTATGACTGTTGATGTTTATCTAAATAAGGTATCTACTATGTATAGTAGAATTGTACATGCCTGCTGTGCTTTGGAAATCAAGATACTGTAGCAATAGTGTACTTTCCTCTCAATTTTTGGGTCAAGTTCAATTCCTGGACTCAGCATCACATGTTAGCAGAGTTTGTTAGGTCTCTCTCTTGATTCAAGGGGTTTCCTTTGGTTTTCCTGCTTTCCTAACAGACAAATTACAATTCGATCTAGCTGTGCTCTAATTTAGATCAGTTCAGAGGTCATTCAGGTTACCAAAATTTTTTGAATGTTTTATGCCTTGCTACAGCCATAAATTCTGCTTGAAATCTTGCACTCACTACTTAATTATTTTTGAAGAGAACACCCATCTAAACTCTACTGGATAAATCCTTATCCAGTGCATAAATTTATTGGATAACAGCATTAACAGCATTATCCACCCTTCGTACAAACAGGCCCAAGAGTGAAGGACAATCTGCTAAATCCTGCAATTATATTGCTCGTTCTCATGAGAGTTGTAGTTTAGAGTTTAATTAATATTTGTATTATTACTCTTATAAAGCCGTTCCTTAAAGAGAGTAAGAAGCCAAAGGAGAGTAAGTCCTGTGGAGTCATACAAGTGGTTGGCAGTTTCCATTGTACTGCATGTTTGAACCAGAAGATCACTAACAGAGAAGCTATCCAGGTAGAAGATTGTCACACCTATATAAAAACTATAATAATCCAAGGAGTAAAAAAAAACTTTACATCCAGAAAATATACAACCCCATGAAGAAGAGTTTATAAGTGCCCTCCCCCTCCTCCCCACCCCACAACAGAAATAGCAGCTGGTGAGATTCCCTACCCCAACCCAGAGATGTTGATGTATAAGAACCCCCCACTCCCCACCCCCCAAAAATTGTTGGATGTCATTATCTCAGAAACCTTTCCTAATTCACTTCCACAAATAAAGTTGCCAACCATTCTTTTCCCCTACCATGCCTGATATATGACTTTGCATTGTTTCCCACTCATTGAGAATTCCAATACCCCAACAAGGGGGGGTGGGGGTGCATGGATATGAACAGATATGTTCCACCCTGTTATCTTTCTCTTATCTTCTGTTTTTCAAAGAACAGAGACTAGAGACTATAACACGTTTTTCCTACTTCCTCCAGGCAATCAAATATGACATCATAAGAAGTGTAATTTCTCGTTGTGAAGTGTTGTGTGATGATATTGTAGATGCTCAAGAGGACAACTCTCCAGGTAAGTCATCAGAGGGTTTGGGTTAAGAGTGGGGTAGGGTATGGAGAACTACAAGAGATGAACTATATTAACTTTCCATGAAGGTCTACTTTAAAATATTCCTAAGGATTTTATCTCATTTCGAAGTCATTCCATGAACAGGAAGATGACATGGTAGTATTTGCACAAGTAGTATTCCATGGCTATCTATCAAATGACTTATCAAGAGCATTGGGATTGAGTATCACTTTCTTGCATTGCAATTTGATGGTGTGCATTTTCTCACACTTTGATTAGATGACATATTCTCATGATTTGATTGGATGGCATTTTCTCATATTATAATTGGATATTTTTTCCATTCTGATTGGTTGAAAATTGAAGACAATTAATAATTACGTTGTAATGCGCTACTTTCCATTTATGCGAAATTTGTTGTGATTCAACCCTCTAGAGTCATCAATAGAAAACATCTGGACATGTCCCAGAAGAGTGTTTGTACCGCTTGGCAAAACCCCTGTACGGTTTTGTGATTACGTCTTTCAAGATGAAACAATGCAGGCAAGTACAATGCTACCAATATGATCCACTAGTTTAGAAATTAGCTTATCGCTTGGTGGCATACCCTGCTATGGCACTGTCTCTCTTACTGCAGTGTAGTTAACACCTGGGGTCACAGGCTCGATTCCCGACCGAGCCACGTGACTTGAGTTTGTTTGATATGTTGTTGTCTCCCTTACAAAAAGGGTTTTTCTCAAGGTTCTTTGGTTAATTTTTCTCCCTCCTTAAAAATCAATATGTGAGACGAGTACCTGGTTGGGTACTTCGTATCTCTTGGGAGTGATGGTTGTATCATAATACTTGTTTCTAACTAAGAGTATATTTGGTTGTTCAGGATTCTTTAGATCGTATCTCAGAACTACTTGACATGAACCCTAGGGAAGATGAGGTGCAGTCCCTAGAGACGATGACAAGTACGTAAGGTTTTGTATTCAAAGAGTATATCTATTACTGTTTTGAAAAGCAAAAGATTCTAGGTACGACCTTTAAAGTGCCAGAAACAAGTGCGCAGCCAAAGCCCAACCTGTACAGCTTGACTTCGACGGTTTCCCTCGTGTTTAGCGTTCCCCCGCAATTCGAGGCTTGTCTCGCACTTTGCTCTCATATTCCAGAGTTTGCGCACACTTTAATATGAGTTACCGCGTGCGACTTGGCGTATTACTTCAACGGTTGCAAAATCCCTCTCCAGTCCACCTTCCTCTGCACGACAAACCAACCCAGTTGACTTGCTTTATTTTCAATTTTTAGCCAATCAAAATCTAGAGGAAATCAAAGAACATCTACAGTCTCGGCAAGAGATGGAGCGCGACTCAAGCGAAGAACAATCTGATTCCTCTACTAAAACATCCAGTGTGAGTGCACGTATTTTGGGTGTTGTTTTGGGGCTGGCTACAGCTGTTATTGCAACTGGGGTAGCATTTATCTGGGGGGAACAGGCTAGTTGAAAAATAATTAAATATATTCATGTAGATCAAAGTAGAAAAACGCAATTGAACTTCTCATGTGGGTGATGCTACCATAGCTCTATCTGGTTCATACGGTGTTTTCTGGGCAAGCAGGTAGTTCTTTGTTGTACAACCACAAGAATAAAGAATATRGGTCATCTTAAAATTTATTTGAATATTTTTCAATATTAAACACACGTTACAGAATGCTAACTGTCATGTTAATATGATATCATAAAAATGCTCTTGCGTATGTATGGTACTCGTACAAAAATATGATTGTATCTCGTAGCTTTAGCTTTGTTAACTCAAAAAAGACATAAAATATGTATAAGTAAATAATAAAATTTAAAATATAATGATATAATATACTTAATATATTAAAATAATAACTTGGAGATGAAATGATAATGAATGAAGACTACATTGAGTTTCTTGAACGTATAAAACACAGATATCAATTCACACTGATTCATAAAGACTAATAGAATAGATGAAAGTATTCCAAAGGTATTGATAACAATTTGAACATTAAAAGCCTAATAATTTATTTCAGATCTTGCCTTCTTTGGGCAAAAGTTTAAAACAAACAAGATAAAATGCACGTTCTTGGATAATGTTTTTAAGAAACTTGGTTGTGCATGCTTATCATGACAAGTGCGCATGCGTTTCCATTCTCTTCCCCAAACCCTGCGTTTCTCGAGAGTGTCCATGTTTCAAACTTGCAGGACGTAATGCGCATGCTTAGTTTTCGACCAAGCACATCCTACTGCGCATGGTTATTTGGCAGTCTTCGTCATCTTTGTCCTGATCGTATTAGATCACTAGCGACTGAGTTCAGCATCTTTTTAGATATCCTTTGCACACGTCTAGCGGCTCTGTTAGCTTCATCGAGAGACAGGTGAAGACGACGACTGTCGAGCTGCTGAAAAAGGAAAATGAATGATGATCACCATACGAATCTGTGCTGATCATAGTCAACATGATATGTGGCTTGACTTGTGTTAAAGCGAGGTGTTTAGAGTCAAGTATGAACACGAGGGAAGCGCGGGTGTTGTGCGTTGCTAATGTAACACCTCTCGCTATTGGGTTTGATTGTGAGTAGAGTCGAGTACAGTCTCCTCTGCTTTGAGGTTTTTTCCTCCCTCCGCCATAACCAAATCCTAAATTCCAATTCCGTGCTTTTATCATGAACCTCTGGCTTAAGAGATTGAGCAACCACTCCCTGCATGTCTGACGTAAAACAATCACTCCTTGGTCACATTTAATCAGTATTGCGCAAAGGACGATAAACATATCCCAGGGATCAAGTCTACTGGATAGTAAGAGCATCATGAATGCCTCCAAAGAGCACATGGCTATACAGCAGGAAATGAAAGTGCGTACTAACCTCGTCTTCATAATAGGATTCTCTACCTCGCCTTCGGGAGTAACTGGAGCTGCGCCTTTAAAACGATTAAGGAATACATAAATAACTGATTGTAGAATTTCAAGTGACAATTACTTTAACCTTACCTTTTTGGTCGATAGTAGTTGTCTTCGTCACTGCTGACGTAGTCCTCGTCGTCGTCTTCATTAACACGGCGATCACGTGATGATCGACTGTCTGGTAGGTGGTGGATATGGTGAATGGGTAATCCCGGGGATACTCCCCCAGGGTATGTATTGGTATGGTAGTGGTATGCCGGAGAACCGACAACGCTGAAACAATGACATAAGAATATTAGTTATCTAGCGATGATGATGGCGATGATGATGATGATGATGGCGATGATGATGATGGTGGTGGTGGTAGTGACTGTGATGATGATGTTGGTAGTGATGATGATGATAATAAATGATGATGACATGATGGTGATGATGACCTCGGATGATGGTGATGACTGATGGCAGTGATAATGATAAATGATGGTGGTGATGGTGATGATGAGAGTGTCAGTGATGATGGTGATGATCATACAAGGACCTACCCGTTGTAATAAGGTGTAGAAGTAGCTTGAGGTGTAGCAGGATATCGTGAATGCTGAGCAGCTCGATCCTCAACAGTATGCGTTCCTGCCTCGTGAAGTCCTCTAGATGTACCGGGTCGTTCACCGGTTCCCCGGTGCCCGGAGAATCCCGGGTAGTAATAGCTACCATGATGATGATCTCCACATCCTCCACAGAAGGGACACAAGAACCGTACAGTCCCGTTTGCTTCACTACCCTTACTCTTCAAGCCCTTTACTTCCATAGCGAGCTCATCTAGACGGCTCTTCAAATCATCGCCGACTTCTCTCTGCGGCGAGTCACGTGGCTGTTCGAAACTATTCGACAGATCTTCGTACTTTTTCCGGAGACCGTCGTACATACTCATCATTTGTTGTTCGGCGTTCTTACGAGCGATTTCTCGTTCTAAGTCGTCTTGTTTCCTTCGCAAGTCGTCGTACATGTGCGCTTGTAATGTTCGCGCGTTGGCCTCGTCTCGAAGTTGAGTGCGCAACCTCTGGAGTTCCTCACGCAACTTATCAAGAGGATCCCTGAGAGGATAAGAATAATGAAGGGTAAGTAAACTAGTCTGTGTTATACACCTCTAAACGGTCTTTTCTTCTAGTCTAGTCCCTTTGAAAACAAACCTTTCATATTTACGAGCTCCATCGCTATAAGCACTACTGCTGTCATCATCTCGCCTCGAACGCCTCCCTGACCGCACAGACTCGCGGTCCATACTGGGGTAACTACGAATGCTTTGTTTATCCATTGCTCGAGTGTCGTGATCAGATCGAGGACCTGGGGAACAGAAAGTAAAATGATGATAAGTCTTACAATAGGAAAACGTTTTGTGCTGAAACGTGCCATATGGTGATTGGATGAGATGTTTTTTGATTAACCTGGTCTAACGTGCTAGAACCTGCTAGAATAACTGCTGAAATAGAACTGAAATACAACTAAAGGCATAAAAATCTACCAGACAGACATTTGCTTACATGGCTGAACTATGCGCAATCTCTAATAAAGTCTTTAATCTTAAAATAAGTTGAAAACAAGCAGCGTGACAAACCAAGTTTAAATTTGTAAATTATAGAGCTTAACACAACACGAAATTAATAAACTGTTCAGAAAACGTTCCCTGTAAAGGAAACAGAACTACAATGTAGATTATCAACAAAAAGAGAAAAAAAACTAAAAAGCTCGCATCAATCAAAGTGTTTCCTAAAAAAACTTACTGTCTAGATCGTGATACATTCTTCAAGAGAAGCATATTTCTCCAACTAATTCTTTTGATCGTATGTTCACGTTAGAATATCGTACATACTACATTATTAAACAGACTAGATATTAGAAGCAAGTAAATATACCATATATAAATTTGATTGGATGTCTGTGGAGAATGATGATAATGAATGAAAAACCTCTGGTTCAATTGAATCGCAAGTTGTGAGATCATGTAACGAAGTCTTTTATTGAACTGTTAAAGGATCATAAATTAATCATACGATAGTGACCTAGCTACACCGCAGAATTCTCGCTTCGAAAAGAAAAGAAATCTAAATTCAATGCTAAAAAATAGAAATAAAAGTAACAAAAATATGTTTAAAAAGTTGTTTCAAACTTTCTTCTAGATTCTATACTTAGTGGCGTTTAGTATTATTATTGACATTATTGATAGTATTGACATATCAATTATCATGTTTAAATTCGTTGTGGTAGAGTTCAAGCCAAAATTACCTCGAATGAATTCATTGACAAAGAACATTCCAGATTTCTAAACTCCCCAAACTAGAAAAACAGGTTTAAACAGTACAATAAGAGAGTGAACACAGGGAAGATACTAGAATCTTTAACTACACTTACAAGGAGTGCATATTATTTTTCTCAGTACCTAAATACAGGAACCAATGTTTCCCCAAACCAGTTTCCAAGAAAGGCGAAGTCCCTGTAGTTCGATGAGCAAAAATACAAGGAAAAAATATTCAAAATATTTTTGAAATATCGAATGGTACGAATATTTAAAGGAACAATAAAAAGCATTCATTTCAAGTTACCGTAGTACTTCAGAAATGTCTGTAAAAGCATGAAGAGACTCACTTCCGCCAAATCACACCAACTCTGGTCAAAAATGTAAACTTCCTTGTTTCATTAGGAAAAAACTTGCTACAGACTCTATCTTCAAATATAAAAACTATCCAAAATATATATTCGAGTTGTTAAAAACGCTGAAAATCTTTCCAGAATGTTTATGATTGGAGACAGGAGAGAGAGGGATCAAGCTTGCTAGCTACCCCGGCTGAGAATACTAAACAATTATCGTTTGTACACCTGCTCCAGTATCAATAATTCTAACGATGGAAGAATAGCAAAACAATACAAAACAATGACATTATTCTGATTGTAGACATTTCGATAATATCCATAACAATTTCCTCAAAGACGGACGGAAAAGAAGACCGCGATAAAGTTATTGGATGGGAAAATAAAACAGGTTGAGTGTTGTTATAGACCGGCACGAAATCTTTGCCATATTTATTGGAGACTCGACTTTTTTTAACTGAAATATTATGTTGAAAGCCTATAGAACTTTGCGCAAATCATATAAGAGGTAGTTATATATAGAATTTCTTCTTACTCGAAAGAACCAACCACAGCGCGTTTAATAAGAGAGGTAGTCACATATGGAAATTTTGTCTGCACAAAAGAACCAATGAGAGCGCGTTTAATAAGAGAGGTAGTCACATATGGAAATTTTGTCTGCACAAAAGAACCAATGAGAGCGCGTTTAATAAGAGAGGTAGTCACATATGGAAATTTTGTCTGCACAAAAGAACCAATGAGAGCGCGCTATATATTTCATTTTCTTACCGATCCTAAGTGTCGGACGATCAACTTCTGCCGCGCTTTTCCTCAACGAATCAGGTCGCAGGGTTCTCGTACTTCGTCGCAGGTCTGACTCGTCAAAGAGGTTTGGAGATGACGATGGTCTTCGTAGACTTTCGTCAGGTCTTCGCATTCTCTCGTTATCCGAACGAGTGGCGGGAAATGTCGGGGTATGACGATGTCCTCTTCTCTCGCGTTGATTGGCTGACGATCTAAGGGAGGTCTTCGACGGACTGGTTTCTAGTCCCCTATCTTCGTCTGATTCTGAGAGAGACTTGAGATAAGGTCGTCGTTTTTTGTGATCTCTAGATTTCGATGCACTTCTGACAGGGATTTGTGTGGAGGGTAAATTAAACCTTTCTTCTTCAGATTCACTTAATGTCTGCTCTCTGAGGGATGGATGTCGTATTTTATTCTGATCATGCGCAGTTGAATGCCTTACTTCGGGTGAATGCGTCAACCTTGATCCTCGACTTTCTTCGGAACCAAAGAAACCACTATCAAAACCTCTCTCTGTGTCTGCTGTAGGTGGCCTGGTCTTGTCTCGACCTCGTCTTGTATCCTTGGGTCTTGTACCAGGATGGAATAGCGGAGTAGATACACGACTATCAGCACTAGACATACTCGTTCGCTGGTGTCCAGGCTTGCGCTGCACTGTCTTCTTGCTGTCTAGTACACGAGGACTGGACTCTAAGGACTCAAAAGGTACGTCATAGGGTCCACGTGGCGGGATTTCGTCTGCTACACTAGATCTCGTCCGGTACGTATACTGTTCAGGGGTGTCGTGCTCCGTACGTAAAATATCTATCCGGGTACTATCCCCTCTTGGTTTCACACTACGGGACTCGGGGTCTACGGGATCTTTAGAGAACCGGGGATCAGTAGCTCCCGCACGTGATACCTTGCCTCTTGATTGGCTGATCCGACTGTCATCGTGCTGCAGGTGAGGATGGTTTCTAGTCTGCTCGGTCAGTATACTTGAGGAAGCCTGAGGCATGGTTCTTTCGATGTCTGGCGGTGATACTGGACTGATGTATTCTGGGTATGACGTCAATGGGTGTGTCACGTGATTATCCATGGTGCTTGTGCGACTGCGCTGACTTGTCTTTCTTGACCGATGAGGACTGGAATCGACTGAGGTGTCAGAGTGTGGTCTGGAAAGGAGAACGAGCAATCCAATAAATTAGAATTTTATATGCGGATCTTTCGGAGCGGTTTTAATAACAGACCTACTTACCTCTGTCTATCGGGAGAGAAACCCATACTTTGCCCATCAAAAGATGTTCTATCCCTCCCCCTGAGGGGATGTTGTGCTCCTCCAGCGCTATTAGACAAATAGTGGGATGCAAGACCCTCTGAGTTGGCATCTCCGACAGAAACACTCATCGTCTCTGATGCGTAGTAACCTGACTCTTGTAGATCGATTCCTCCATGGCTGACATTATGCTGTAGATGATCAAACACATTATCCAGTCAATATATGAATCCTTCACAACTATTCGTCTTTTACCCCTCGGGTATGACAGATGTCACGTGACTATAAAATGACACGGTCATGGTACGGGATTAACGACATCCTTTAAACCAATCTCACTGTACGTAATCATTGATTATCCAATCAAATTGCTCGAACACAGCACCGTCACGGTCACGGCTTGTCGGTACCATAAGTGTTTCACACGATGAAATTGTTTTATCCTATTACCGTGACCAAACCTCACGACTATGACGAGAATTGCGTTACCTCCTTGTCACGACTATCATCCTCATCCGAGTTATCGGTCAATGGACCTGCCAATCAAAATAAGCGATAATCAAGTTTAACAGGTTATCATACATTACATTTATGGATACGAAACACCCACCATACATCTTTCAAGAATGCGCGTGCATTTTGAGACAGTGAGGCTGTTAAAATTGCCGTATTTAAAGCATTACAGGCGTAGTATTGCTATGGTTACCTAGCGTAAAGTCGTCTTCTCTGTGACCATCTTGTATATGGCTTCTTTGCTCTGAATCTGGTGAACCATCAACGCTCCTAAAAATAGTGAATAATTTAAATGAGTATAAATATAAGCATGGCTAGTAAATGGATATGAATATAATGGATGATAATCAAAACAACGAGAAAAAGGTATTAGAGCCCATTCATTCATTAATTCATGAAAAAGATGGCAGCCAATAAACGAAGACTTGAGTTATTGAAGGAATAAAATAAAAGCATATTTGCTGAACTGAATAAGATTTCCTGCATCTAAATGCAAATAAACGTCTTTCGTGATAACAAGTACAAAGCGACCAAGTCAAGCGAAGCACATCTTAAACTACTACACGAAAACGATCAACTATCATCCCCTATTTATACCCTGCAATAAACTAGTTAATAAAACAACAAATACAACACACTTAATATCAAGAAAACAGCTAGTTGTGTGTAGTCAATATTTTTTAGGAATGAATTAAGGTTATTGACCTAGTCAAATTCAAGAACTTATTCGTATGATATAAAATTACTGACCCGAAAAAAAAAACTTACCGATACAAAGACTTAAAAATAAATGTTTTCTTTAATGTYTCCATTTTGGAAAAATACTATTATTTACGAAATTTCAAATCATAATTTTTAGGGACGTGTATAAAGAATATGAATGATTAAATACATAAAAGAAAATACGCGATATATAGCTCTAAGGGAAAATATTGAAGTGACATAATATACCATGGTAGACCAAATGTCAGCAAAGATGGATTCGTAGCTGAAAAGATTTCGATGATTTCAGAGTCGCAGCTATCCTCATAGTCTTGTTTGTACATGTTAGATCAATGGCGAAAAGACTGCCTTCTTCGAAGTCTCGTAATCTCGTAGTAAAATATGGTAAATTTTTTGAGCATTCATTTCTGAAATTTCTCCATCACCAACAGACGTTCACCTGCCATTATTTCGATCCTGTGTGTAAATTTAACTGCAATCTCAAGCAAGAATCCATGCTGGACAAGTGTTTACTCTCGATAAATATATGAATTATGGTGATATTGAATTTGGACGCCAGGGTGGGGACAGTCAAGGTTGAATAGCACAGGAAATGGGAATTGAAACTATTGAGTCAGAGATCAAAAACGCCATTCATAAGGAATAGGAAAACACCATTCTTGCTTTTGAATATAATAGAAGATTTTTAGTCTTGAATTCATAATAAAGGATGTAAAACGATTGTTCTGCAAAAATATTATGAAAATGTGGGGCAAAGATAAAGAATTATCTAAATATTCAATGTGAAAAAAATGAAAAAATAAGTAAATTCTAAATGGTAAGTACGAGCTCAGTAAAAGAGCATTAAAAAAACGAGAATAATATAGCGACACAGAAAAGATATGATAACAAGTTTATGGTAAAAAGTCATTAAGATTTTCATAATTAATTTTAAAATATGCAATAAAATGCAATTGGACCAAATAAAACTGTCGCTAGGTACTAACTTGAAAGACATTAATCAAATAAAAAACTGAATAATTTTGAGTACGTTTGACCAAACAGTTTAACTTAACTTCGTCTTAACTCAGTTATCATGTTATAGCTTTTCTTCTAAAAAAGATGTAAAAACAGTTATATGAAATAAGAAATTAATTCTAGCTAACCTTAAGTGAAAAGGATGAGGATTTTATCCATTTTGTTAAGGTAAGACAATCTGTTAGTAGACATATTGCGTTTCGATGTGTCATGGAATTGTTTACTTTGTATTTTGAAACCTTAGCAATGGCAGCAAGAAACGTTAATCGTTAACTGTACGAAGGCAACACAAGCCAGGAGTTTAAAARGACCAATTGAATTATCTTTTTATACAAATTGCTTTCCCGAATTTTTAGAAAATTAACAATTGTTTAGCTATATTACAGGAAAACAAGCCAATTCTTAGTGAAACACCTTCTTTCTTTTCTTTCTTTACAAATGAAGAAGAAGGCCGTTGCTATAGCGAGTTGGAACGATCTCGATCTTTACTTTCGAGCATGATTCAGTCGCTTAAAAAAACACACACAGTTTGTGATGCTTTAGTTAGGAGCTAAAGGCAACATGCAAAATAACTATACCGATGGTCAATTAGTCCGAAGAATGAAGGTTCTAGGAAGAAGGAAAGGAAACAAAATGACGGAAGAAAGATGAGAGCAATATCGTCATTTGTGAAAAATTAAGAGACGTTAAGCAAGCAAAATAATAATGTTCACTTTGCTTCTACTGCGGCTCTGATGTCTAACACATATTTAATCCATGATTTTTTAAACACAACTTCGCGTACTTTAGAGTCGTAGGGATACTAGATTTCCGAGCAAGTCTGTTGAAGTATTTCTCATCGAAGCTTTATAGTAATATTGCTATGATCCCAGAATTCGGATATCACATTTTTGTAAGCATCATGAAGCATATGCTTGGTAAAAGGTAAAAGAAAGGCATCAAATACAACGCTAGTCAGGATCGGGGTATTTTTGATAGGGTCTCGATAGGTTAGCCGATAATGAGAAAGGAATGAAATTCAAACGAAGTGGAAGAATTTGAAACTAAAATTGAATGAATGAGAAGTATTATAGAATGACGAGAAAAATGGAAGGAGCGAATTTGTGCTAAATAATGAAAAAGAAATGGGAAATTAAGTCTGATACTGTATTATAAACGAGGTTGTGCGTTTTATGACCAATAACATATTATAAATCGCTATCACCATCATTTTTAACACCAATATCTTCATCATCGACACCACAACCATCATCATCATTATCACCATCATCATCATCATCACCACCATCATCATCATCACCACCATTATTTTTATCATCGACACCACAACCATCATCATCATTATCACCATCATCATCATCATCACCATCATCGTCATCATCCTCACCACCACCACCATTGTCATGACCTTCTTCATCATCATTTACATCAACATGAGTGATTTTAGTTGAAGGGGAGGGGTGGATAAAAAGCTCATCCTTACCTCGAAACAGCCTGATCATTCCATGCAGATTCCTTGACGCTTCTTAATCTCTGCACCAAGAGAAAAAAGGGTTACTATCATAACACAGAATTATAATGATTGTCAATTATGTTCAAGCTTGCTGAATCAAATAATTTGTTAGTTTTACTCAGAGTTTTACTTTATGAAAGTTTGACATTGTAAAAGATATTCTTTGTCTTGCTTTCTTTCCAAAGTACTTCCCCACAGCTTATTTTGCAACAAGAAATTTTTAATTTTTCTATAATTGTTTCTGATCATTAATTGGTTTTGGCTCAAAATATATATTAATATGTTGTGTATGATCAAAAATAGTATACCCCTGGCTCTACATGTCCATATGATCAAATATGGCAATACTTTATTTATGCAGTGCCTTAGTTTGCTATCCAGGAATTCACCTACTTTTAATGTTTCCTGTCTTACACCTATTTTTACTTTTTATTCATAAATTTTGAGAAATTTATAACAAGTTGAAATTTTGCTTAACTTTTTACTTTTTCTTTGTGGATTATAAGCAGATTGTAACACCCAAGATAGAAACTAGGATAACCTTAGCAGCCCCTCATCTGAGTAACATCCTTATAAATATTTTTCTTAAGTGATATACACCTACTTGCAAGAACGTTGACATACAAATATAGAACATTAGTGATTTAAAAAACAAAAGAAGATCACTGAAGCTGAACATTTTCTTTTGTCTTTTAATGTATTCCTTTCTCACTAAATTACTAATGTTCTAATATCGTATGACAACGGTTTTGCAAGTAGGTGTAAATGATGATATTAAAAACATCTCTCAACTACTAGTGAAAACTAACTTAGAGTATCTAAAAGTTACATTCTTACATTCAAGAGAGCAGCAAGCTCTGGATCTKTATTTTGTCTTCTAACTGACTGTTCTTGCATACTGACGGCCCTGTAATGAACAAATTAGGGATGGACCATTAGATAATTGAGAGGGGGGAGGTGGGGAATTTATGTTGCACAATTTTCATTTTTTGTAACATTTTGTAACATTTCTTTTTTGAAATGAGATATGTTTTTTATAGGTGAAGTGCTTGCTTGATTTTTTTGGAGGGGATAAGGCACACCCCCCCCCCCCCCCCGCCAGTTATCTAATGTTCCATCCACTTAGTATAGGAAACCGTACGATCTCGAGAACAATTCAGAATTTATAGATACTCGTGATGTTTCGAAAGTTTTTAAAATTAAACAAGCCTTTTATGCGGCAAGTCTCTATAAATTTAGAATCGTATGATAACATTGTGCAATTTTTTGTTAATATGCTCAACAAAATTGAGGAAGTTAATTGGCACTCTACAAGGTACAATTTGGGATTTAATTGTACTTCTATTGACCATTCAGAATGGAGTAATTTTGTTGAATGTATTATAAGTCTAGTTATAATCAGATAACCACAAAATTAGACAATGATGGTGTTATTWTTTTTATTTTTACCTGTGCCTGCCATTATCATTGTTCCTTGGGATGTGGTTCAAATTTTCTTCAATCTGTTCATTTATTTCATCCAGTCTTAACCCCAGTCTGTAGAGCTGTACAAGAAAAAAGAAAATGATGAACTAGAAAACTAAAAAAAATAACAAACACGTAGTTCTAGTTTACTGATTCAATGATTTGGCACAATGTTTGGAAACAAGAAAAGGAAATTGGAAAAAAAATCATTGAAAAAGAAACAAAATGTTTTTATTTAAAAACTATATTACCTGTCCTTCCAAACTATCTTCTTGAAGAAAATCACCTTCAAAACTAAAAACAAAAATATTTTAAGTAGCTTATTTTGGATAGTTAAAAAAATCCATACCTCTTCCAAAGAGTGGAATTGGAGATTGCAGAGGCGTGGGAAAGTTGAGTAAAACACTGGGTCAAGATGACATTGCAGTGCATTTGGTACTGTTTTAGGAGACTTTTCCACAATGCACTATAGTGCAAACTTGACCCAGCTTTCATTCAAACTCACAATGGCTAATAAAGCTTCAGAAATAAAACTAGTATATAGATATAACTAATATAGCTACATATTTTTACCTCTCTAACAGAGGGGATCAGAGGTCTGAATTTCTAAGGGCACATAAGAGGGATTCAATGAAGAATTTTTAGCATTTTCATTTTAGATGAAACATTTTTGAAGTTGTTGGGAAGGCTAACATGAAACCTCATCCCCTACCCACCCCCTCCCCCCCCAAATGGGACAGAGAAGAGTTTTCTAGTATTTTCTGGAACTACATATATAACTTTGTTTTACAAGAAATCAGACAAGGGTGTGAACATTAAATGAACAATTAATGATGCAAGTGGTTAACCAATAAGCCATGTGCTAAAGTCAATATGACAGACAGATGGTACTAGTCTAATATATAAATAACAGTCTAGGAAGTAAAAAGGATACTTAAACACTGAGTAAAAAAATTTGTAAAAATACTGATGTTTCGGAAGTTAGTTTATCATCAGGGTCAAAAAAACTTAATAATAGTCAGCAATCTTACTGATAGCCTATGATTTAACTGGATGCCCATGACTTAATATCTACAACAACAAGGTGTGAGTTTTATTAAAGTCTAACCAAGCATGGAATATATAATACACCTTCTGATGGTAATACATGCACAAACTTGTCTGAATATACCACATGTAATGATACATAAATGCAGCACATGCTAACTAGACTAGAGTGGCTCTCACAAGTGATTAAACACTTTATTTATTGTTACAAGTGATGCTATATTTGTGTCGAATTCCCTATGGAAACGTTAGTCATGCATCACATCAAGTGTGAAATACTACCATACAACAAAAAAATACATGTATATAAAGGTTATCATTTATGAAGCAAAAGGTTAAAGATATTTGATATAGAAATTCATAATTATAACTACTATTTTTATGGGGATGCTGTTATTGGCTTTGATGTTGTAAAGAGTACTAAATATTTCAAGGAAAGATCAGAATGATTACAAAAATACTTGTCTATTAAATCCCAGACAAATCATTTTAATAGTATCTGTGCTAAACTAGACAAAACATTTTTTATTTTATAAGAAAGATTGGCTCATGTATTCATCAGAAAAGAATAAAGGAAAATGAAAAATACATGAAATTTTCTTTTTTTCAATTTTCTTTTTTTTTCTGTACTAAACAAGACAAAACATTTTTTTATCTTATAAGAAAGATTGGCTCAAATATTCATCAGAAAAGAATAAAGGAAAAATGAAAAAACATGAAATTTTCTTTTGTTCTTTTTTTCTATAATAAACACTTTATATCATTAAAAAAGTAATTCTCTCCTAATTCACTCTTTTTATAATAACTAATTGTGGAAAAATGTACAATTACTTGGGAAAATAATTATCTATATAATTACAAGAGACATCAGAGAGGAAGCTTATATATCATTGTTTATGATATCTTGGCACACAAAGAGAATGAGATGGAGTGACCAAAATAAAACAGAACGAGTTTAATTTAATTACCCAGGAGAAAGATTATCAATGATATCATCCAAGTGTATGTTGAAAATCTAAGAGCAAATTTTCAACAAGATTTCTAAAACAGACGAGTAAAATAGAAGAAAAGATGGTTTGCATTTCTTATTTTTTCTTATTTCTTTTTTTTCGAGCAAACGACAGGTTATAAAAGATTCATAGCATGCAAAACAAAAACAACAAAAATAAATTGCTAATAAAATGAACTTTCTAATATAAAAGTTATGAATATTTGCTCAATGGAATAACTTTAGCTGGCCAGGATATAAGGATAAACATCCGCTAAGAAATTTCTCTTTCACGTCAAATGAGATATAAACATACGCTCTCTCCAACACAACAAAAGACTTGATCTTTTCTATTTGTATTCCTGATTAGATAAATACAACGAAACCTTCTGTGTTTATAGCAATATTTACCAGCTGAAAATCAGGTGAAGTTACCTTTCATTTAGTGGAGTATCTGTGCCTTGTCGTTCTAGTTGCTTGGCTTGTATCATCTCAACTTTCATCTCACTATGTTGCTTTATCAATTGATTACAAATATCCTTCAACTCTTTCAACTCATTTTCCCCCCATTCTCCATCTGTGACATGACCCTGAAGATCTTCAACGTTTTCTTGTAAAGTTGGAAGCTTAAACATCAAAGCAGTTCTTATTCCATCAGCTCTTATTTTTGGTGTTAATAAAGACGACTCTAATGTTTCAGAATCAGGTGTTTTATTAAGAAAATCTGATCGGTTGCCGTTCGTTCCATGCGTTCCAACGTGTTGCGATTGTTGTTTCACAGAAGGTTCACTCAAGGTTGCTTTACCAGCCCTTGGGAAGCTAAAAGCTTGAGGCTGCTTCCCTCGGGTCACATTAACTACAGTACTTTGTTGAGGAGGAGGTAGATCGCTATAAAGATTCAATTTAGCACCAATTCTAAGCTGATCAATAGTGTTTTCAGCTTGTGCGTATTTTGTTAACAACTCATCGTAGTCAGACTGCAATCTTCGACATGTCTCTAGAGCTTCTCTTGGATGCATTCCTCCTCTGATTGATAATTCACTGATGTCTCTACTAGATATATCTGACAATGTATCATCCATATTCCTTGATTCTGTCCTAGATCGTGAAATACTGTTCGGTTGATATTCAAATTCTGCCATGCTTCTTGTAAGTAGGAATACTATAAACAACGACCACGGAATGTCCTTAAAAAAACAACCCCATTTCCCTCCATATTACTTCCTGTATCTGACCATTAACTTGCCAACACTCCTTTGACAGGAATTCAAAAGCTGATCGCAAAAAAACGAGCGTTTTTTCAAACACTTTCACTTCGTGTTTCTGTGTCTTCAAACAAAGAACATGAATTCTTGTCTGCCATGGAAACGAGGCCACGCTCTGCTGGGCAGCGGAACTAAGATAGAACGACACTTTTGATTGGACGAGACTGATCAACTCGAGTCTCCTTATATATTATAGAAACTATAGTGTAATCATTATCATTGCATCGTCATCATTTTTGCCATGAGCTAAATTCAAGTACTGCCAAAGTAATGAAAAAGAAAACAACCTTGCCTTTATTTTTAAAATGACAATAAGCTAAAATTATAATAACATTCATTAGGGATTATTGTGAAGCCATGTCAGGGTGATTGACTGCAAAATGTCACCAATCATTATTTGCGAGAAGAAAAAAATAAAGATACAAAAAAAACAAAACAAAAAAGGAAACTTTTTTAAGAAGGGGGTTGAGGTTAAATACAGGGAGGCGTGAGGTATGGATTGTCAAGGGGGGAGGGGGGGGGAGGGGCTGCACATCATCATATCTGGCCCATACACAGTATATAATTATTACATATACAGTATATAATATCTAGGCGATCTAAAGGCTGCACAATTACATTTACTCAGATTAATATAATTTAATTAATTTTAAACTAAAAGGCACTGCACAACCCATTTGAGTGATGGAACTGGTGCAGGATGGAACTTTGCAACCTGATTTGAGTGATGGAACTGGTGCAGGATGGAACTGTGCAACCCATTTGAGTGCTATCCGTCCTTCATGTTTACATCTAAGTGAATGGGTATTGAACTGTGCAACCCATAAGAGTGCTATCTGTCCAACATGTTTATATCTAAGTGAATCGGGTATGGAACTGTGCAATCCATCTGAGTGCTATCTGTCAATCATATTTACATCTAAGTGAATGGGTATGGAACTGTGCAACCCATTTGAGTGCTATCTGTCCTTCATGTTTACATCTAAGTGAATGTGAATGGAATTTGTGCAACCCATTGTGTCCAACATTTTACAACTAAGTTAATTGTTTTGGAACTGTGCAGCCCATCTTAGTGAGCATCTGTCCAACATGTTTATGCCTTTACATCTAGGTGAAGCTTAGTAAAGCTATGCAAGTTTTTGTTTCATGAAGTCAATCATTCTCTGTGTAGATACCCTAGCGATGGTTTCATTATAATTAGAGCTGTGTGGGTTAGTAAAAGAATGGCCTGCCAGGTACTCGTAGAACACATAATCCACTCCACCAGCATCTAACTTCTGTCTCAGTTCGTTATACTTGGTAGGGTTTGCAGTATTCGATTTATCGAGACTTCCAAAATGACACTGGACTGGTATTTTGATGGTAGATACATTTGCAAGGGAGTCACCTGGGATGCCATAGAACGGCGCTGATGCAGAGATCTCTGGTACCAGAGCAGCAGAGGCCAACGACAACGAACCACCCATACAGAACCCCGTCACACCGACCTTGTTACACCCGATGGCAAGCAAGTAGCGAGCAGCTCCTTGGATGTCTTTGACAGCTCCAGGATAATCGAGATTGCTGGTAATGTGAACTGCTCCTGACACGTCTGTGGCGACTCTGTTACGATACAAGTCAGGAACTAGAGTGACAAATCCTCCTTGGTTAGATATATTGGCAGCTTGTTGCTTGATCTGCTCGTTCATACCCCACCATTCTTGAATCACGACCAAACATTCATTTGTGTCGCGTATGTCACCCGTAAGTGACCCTGGACAAACTCCAACAGGATTCGCAGAATCGAAAACAATTCCTTCTTTGTACACGCTGCTTGTTTGGATCTTAACCTGGATGTCCAAGAGCAGAGAAATCAGCCTCCAAACGTTGGAAAGATACAGCATCTTGATAAGGTTTGTAGCTTTGCTCTATGTTATGTAACAGTGTTCCGTATGGAAGAATGAATAATATTTGCCTATGCATTATGGGAAAGCCATCCATGCATGTCTTTGTTGTCAACAGCGGACATACTTGCGTCTGCCCCCCACCAAGCCAGTCCTTAAAATTATCTGTTCAAATATTAGCCGCAAATTAAGGGTGCGCACTTTATTTCAGCTTTTCGGCGTAAAACGAGCAAAGAAAACAATAGCACATGCGGCAAATACTGTTACAGCAAATTAGTAAATTAGTCAGTACCAGGTCATGTCTACCAGCACCGTACACGACCTTGCCGTAACTCTGCGTAGCGGCCCAAAAGGGATTGGGGGGTTGTGGGGTAAGGAGACTTTCTTTACGCTTTGTGATTGAATAATTCACACGAAGGTAATATAAAGCCTTTTTAATGACTGTTTTTAAACAAACCGTGTACGAAAACCCGTCTAGGCTTCACGAATCATGATGCGTACCAACATAGTTAATTAACTATGGTACCAAGATATCAGACCAGGAAGTAAAACAAGACGACTTCTCGAAGATTCAATAAAAGGTTTATTATTATAAATGATTAATATTAACTGTACGACAATTACTTAAACATGACTAGGTAAAGTGTTTTAGAACACTTCAACGGATTATCAGTATTTTCATTCATATGTTATCTTGTTCAGCGCGCCTTTTTCTCTCTGACCAAGACAACTAGACAACATCTAACGACATGGCGCTTTTTCAGCCTACGCCTAAATTTGAATTGGGTAAGACATAAAAAAGATTTGGATTCTGTCCGTTCCAACGGCCATCGGTCGGCCGTCAAGCGAGACGAGTACCGCCGACTTAATATTTGATGAGAGTCGTTACGTTCAGATATCAATAATTCTGAATAAACGATAATAAAACTTTTGTCAAATTATCTGCGAGTCGCAGATGGACAAACAATCCGTGACCTAAGATGAATATCCTATCCAAAAGATAAAATTATCATCTAGAATGACTTAATAAATAAAGCTCTTTAATTCCAACATACGGTCAAACGCCAAAACTCGACTTCCGTGTACTTCCTCACCCCATCATCACGTGACAGCAAAACTCGACTAGTGTACCAGTTACGTGACTAGTCACGTAAGGGGCAAGAGGACAAATACTTTTCATCTATCAACGACGCAGTCCTGCATGACTCGACTTAACAGGAAACTTAATCCGTAAACCAGTTTTAGTATTTGCTGTATTATTTCACAGAGCTTAAAATGTCATAAATACCATTAACTTTATCATTCTTATTTTTATAATTAGGTGCAAACAAGATGAACTTATTTCTCTTTGGTGTTTTTATCACTACTACAAGTTTTTCTACAAATAGGTTGTTAACTTTAGAAAGTCTTGAAATTTTTGCATTGATATCATCAATGAAATCCTAAAAGTTGGTTGGAGATTTTTAACTAAATGGAATTGCAGTCAATTTTCGACAAAAAATTTTCAACGTTAAAATTGTACGATATTTATTTACAGCTGAATGCGTCGCGCTCACCTTGAACATAAAAGACGTTTTACAACATACACATACGGTGTAAAACTAAAAAGTGTTATTCATTTAGAATTGAGATGTCCGTCGAGTGGATTTTTTTAGTAGCCGTGAAGAAAAGAATGCTACCATGGCATTTAAATGGCTTCCAAATTCTAGCAATGTGATTGGTGTTCCCTTTCATGATTCGTATTGGCTACCATCATGAAGGTTAAATGACGTCCTTTATCAAGCAATGTGATTGGTTGGTGTTTATTTTCGTGGTTCTGATTGGCTGCTATCATGAAGGTTAAATGACTTCCTTTATCAAGCAATGTGATTGGTTGGTGTTTATTTTCGTGGTTCTGACTGGCTGCCATCATGAAGGTTAAATGACTTCCTTTATCAAGCAATGTGATTGGTTGGTGTTCATTTTCGTGGTTCTGACTGGCTACCATCATGAAGGTTAAATGACGTCCTTTATCAAGCAATGTGATTGGTTGGTGTTTATTTTCGTGGTTCTGATTGGCTATCTAGAAGATACTAATTAAGAGACATCGTTCTGTACGTTTTGACGCACTAATAGAATAAGCATTTGCGGTAATCCGCTGTACATTTCTCTCCTCCGTAGCATAAGTCTTCATGATTTGCTTATACACTGTATATGAATGAAGCACTCTTTTACCTTTGACCTCGATAATATATTTCCTGTAATAGATATTAGTCCTCTGTGTTGTTTTTTTCAAGTTTTCTTCAAACTTGTGGATCTCGTTCTTTTATTCATATTGTCTGCTATTTTCATCAAAGCATCAATTCAATATTTCTCCAAATGCTCAAAGCATGTAGCGATTATCTCAAATGACTCCTAGTCCCATGCGAAGGTTCTCATATACTACATAGCTAATACTGACTGCAGGTGCAACCTTCATGAAGTTCGGTGCGAGTCCCCTATAGAGTCCTCGCACTCCATCTTCTCTGAATATTCTCGTTAATAAAGAAACCATGTTGTCTCCAGAGGCGGTGCCACGCTCACGAGCTGAAACGAAAGGTCAATCCAATTTCTTGTCGTTCAAATTATCACTACCTTGGCTTCCCCCCTCCACTCCTCCCTTCCTTTACTTTTCTCTTCTCCTTCGCAATCTCTTTCCTAATTTCCCAACTCCTTTTCGCTGTTTCATTTATTAATTCGTTCCTTCCTCCCTTTCACTTTCCCTTCTGTCTTCCCTTTCTCCGTTTTCCTTTTTCTCCCTCTCTTTCATCCCTCCATCCTAAAGTTCGTTTCAAAGCATTCTCTTCTATAAGCCTGAAGCGAGATGACGTTTTACCCCCGACTCTATACCATAATAGTTTTTAAAATTCTTTCATATTAAAATTTTTGATTCCTTAGAGAATACTGGAACAATAGTCATAATTAAAGAACAAAAGCATTGTGAAAAGGATTATGGTCTAGAGACAGGGGTAAAACGTCATCTCGCTTCAGGCTTATTGCACTCTTCTCTCAACTCTATGTCCCCATTAAGCCTCYCACCTCGATAAATAACCAGTCCTTCTATAACCATTGCCCTTCCTGACACAGGAACCCCAACACCTTAAGGTTCTTCTTACCCTGTGCTTGTAGTTTAGTCCTGACTAAAGACAAAGGATAACTAGCCAGCTGTCCACACGTACTTGATGCTGTACCACATGCTAGTAATACCAATACCCCTGGGTCTGCTGATTCATTCTTGTGATAGTTAAGATAGAAATTTTTGAGTGTCTGGAATAAATAAGACAGTGTTTGAATTTAAAAACTAAAGATGATAGAGGTTTGCACAAATTTCAAATCAAGTTTTTTAATGTCATCAAGTTTACCTCATAAACAGCTAAATCTATTCCTGCATATGGTATAATACCCAATAAACTGGGGAACAGCCCTCTGTAGAAGCTACGCAAGCCTTCTTTTTGATAGATCACACTTGCTGCATGGACAAGGCCTCGGTATTGTCCTGTCTTACGGAGAGCGAGTCTGGTCTTGAGCACCTAGAACACAGGAAACTCATCATTGAATGATAGTGATAATGATAATGATGATGATGACACTGAATTTGATGGTGGTGGTGGTGATGATGATGATGACAATGATGTTTACGTTGAAGGTGTTGGTGATGATGCTAGCTAATGATGTTGATACTGATGATGATGGTACTGATTATCATTGAGTAATGATGATAGTAATGATTAATGATGATAGTGGTGATGATAATGATAATGATCATAAATACACACATGAAATTGCCAGTATTCCAGTCACCCCCTAAGAGATTTCCATGTCATTTTACAAAATAAATAAAGGAATACCTCTAGCGGGTATATACTAGTCTGCGAAGCAACACCAGCCATGGAACCTGCAACTAAGCGTTCTGCTACACCAAGCTGTTTTTCATCTGAACATACAAGTTTTTTAGCCTGAAAAAAAAAAAAAAAAAATGCTCAACATCACTGATTGCTGCTTATCTAAGAAATATTTTCCACTTTTAATATTATGTGCATGGGTATTTTACCTTTTCATAAGCAAAGAATTTGATTGCTGATTCTGGTGCGATCTTAATAACATTAGCTCCATTTCCTCGCCATAATGATTTGATCCCACCTTCTCTTAACATCATCTTAAATCCTGATACAACTCCGATTCTATTTTTTTGAGATGCTTGAACCTAAAAAAAATACAAATTAGTTATAGCTTACAAAAGAAACGTTTTTTTTACATAAAAGATTTATCCGTATCTTGAATTATAAAATAACTGTTACGAATGTCGCATTCTGATTGGTTGGGAGCACATTGAGAGCACATTGCATGGGTGCCCACTTTCCGTTGCATCATTCCTATCTAAAATAATGGTTATTGTAATTTGTATTTTTTGAAAGACATAAAAAATTGCTTGCTGCACTTTTCATAACAAGTTGTGCTTCTCATAACACTTCTCTTGTGTTCTGCCAACCCCCGCATGCTTTATGACTGCACACAGCAAGCGTTTTTTATTTCTTCAACAGTCTTTGGGTTGAACAAAATCAGGGCATGACTAGCTCATAGATTAAACTGGAATAAATTCATCTTGTTAGAAAAGAAACCATTCAATCAAGGTAGAGACTTAATAACACCAAGAAACCCATATTCTTGTCATTACAACAGAATTACAATTGAACATTGATAAGATATTGATGCTACATAATGAACAATGCTTTTCAGACACACTACCTGTAACATCACTTTGAGTCTGTCTAGTGGCGCAGTTGCTGTTCTTGAAACTACAACAAAAGCAAAACAAATTACAATTAATTAATACTGGCAATAAACAACTCATTTCTGAACAAATAAAATATAAATGTAGTTGAAAAAATAGTTAATTACTAGATCTAGTCAACTAGATTAAAGGGTAATGACGTACCTACACCAGCACCAGCACCTGCAACAAGCTGTCTCCACCACATTCCTGATACCTTCTCTGCTTCTGTGAATTCATCAGGAATTAGCATGTCCTCTCCGATATCTATACACTGCATCAATCACAGAAAGAAAAAGTTTGCATCTCAAGATTCTGTTTATTCACCTCTTTCCATACATCAGTTCACTGGTCAAACACAAAGCATTAGTCAAGGCTGCAAGGTTCAATAATCCCTTCAAACTACTTTGCATCCTCTCTTGAGTGCTTTGTATTTGATCAACGAGTGAACTGAAGTTTGGAAAGTGGATGAAAAAAAAATGAAATAGAGGGGATTTGGGATGAATGGAAAAGAAATCAGAATCAATAGGAAAATGGGGAATACATCCCACGACCAGGGCAGTAAGTAAGTGAAACACCACACCATTACTCACCCACATATTCTAGAAGAGTACCACAGGGATCCCAATCTACTATTAAAAATTTCTACTTACGATAGCATGTCTCCAGAACTGTATTATATCATGCATACTATGTCCACTAGGGTTTAATAAATGATATTCTCTCCATTCATTCCAGTTTACTTTTAATGTCTTATCTAAATCCATCCTGTAGTTTAAAAAAAACACACAAAAAGGTTCAGTTATATCCCTTGATGTGTCTTGATTGAGACTTTGTATGATTAGAAGTCTACAAACAGACAATCTGTCACTCTAAAACTATTAAATTGAACTTCATTAATACGTATTAGTCCCTAGGGCTTTAAAGTATTCACAGTAATGTAACACTTATAGAGAGTCATTAAACTGATGATGGACGATGGATATCATCCGAAATATCTACTCAAGAAACTTCTAGTTATTCTTTTCGTTTATAAACTTTTAGCCCAWWGAAACATATTGACACTACAAACRTACCCTTTAATGAGCAGATCCACCTCTTGTTGGGTGACTTTGACACCCATTTTTTCAAAAGCACTTTTCAGTTCTGAAGCATCTACACTACCTGCAGAACATAAAGCAAACATTACTAATACTTAATAATATCCCTTAACACAGTCCGGGGCTGAGCTTAGAATTTTTTAAACAGGTTTTGCCTGAATATTAATCTAGAAGTAGCTCAGTATATTCAGTAAACCTAAACCCATTCACTTCAACCACTCCTGTTATAGAGGCCCTTTTAGGGGGTACCCATGTTATTTGTCTGGATTTCACAACTGTCTGTGTCACAATTTACTCCTAATATGGCCTAACAATGAGTAATTTATTAGAGCAGTCTGTCATTTATAGCTAGGTCATTGATCTTGTGTTGCTCTTTGAAGGCCATTTCGCTTGTCGCAATTTACTCCTAACAGCTAGGGCCTTATCATAGCGTTAAGTCTGGCATGGCACCACAAAATGAACAAGTAATAATTGAGAGTTGTAATTAGATGTTATTAACCAAGCGGGAGGTCCATACGGGATAATCTTGACTGAGGTCTGTACCCGACCGAGGTCAAGATTATCCCGTACAGACCGACCAAGCTCGGTTGATAAGAGTTTTATTATATGACCACTTTTCATTGAAAAGGACAAAATGTCTTCTCTGTAAGATTAATATGCGATTGGACCAGTTAATATCGGAGAATCTAGACCAGTCCGCAATACGATCTATCCAATCAGATTGCTCGATTTGCTAGTGTCCAGGCTCTAAGATTCACGGTCATATAATAAGCATACTGTAGATATTCACCACTCACCACTATTATTTTCATCAACACTTTTAAATACGAGCCACAGTTTCATCTCATGATCTGTAGTAAATTTGACAAACTCTTCAAATGACATGTGACCGTCTAGATTCTGGTCTCCAAGGATCATAACATGCTTAAAAGAAAAAGATCTTATTTATTGATATGTTTCTTAAAATTACCATTAACTTTATTACTAAGATTTTGCATTTTAATATTAATGACTAATCTAAAAAAGTAACAGTTTTGGTACAGAAATACAGGCCCTACAGGCTATACTTGGTATAAAAAAAGCAGAAATTGTTAGGATACATGTGTTTAGCCAACTATGATTACTGTTTATTGCCTGTTTACAGCTGCTTGGGAAGCAAGTGGTGATAACTAGTAGAGCTCTAGCATGTATTTACAGGATAAGATAAAAGGAGACAATAAATGATAATAAAATCATGACAAATGCTTCCCAAGCAGCTGTATGCAAGCTATTGCTGTTACAAAAGTAAATCGATATAGACTGAAGCTATGATTAGAAATATTCTAGCCATAATATTGGTAGATCAAATAATAATTAAATTACCAGTCTGTGGTCTTCAGAAATATTTTTTTGTTAAATGTAGGTGTTATATATTGGAGAATGATTTAAACAAGTATAATTTCCAAGAAAGAGCACTCTTATTTGTTGCATTAGATGTGCTGTTTTCTTAAGAACCTGGTTTCTAAAGCAATTATTCTAACTTATCTCCTCTAAGATACTAATGTCAACAATCTAGAAAATTCTTTAAATTAAAATACTTATTGTCTAAAACTGATTAAAATTCACGACTAACAAGAGATTGAAATTATCATTATATGCACACGACTTTCTTTCGATCTTTTAAAAAATCCTTTGTATTTACAGGATAAGATAAAAGGAGACAATAAATGATAATAAAATCATGAGAAATTCGTAGTAAAGAGAAAGAAAAGAGGTCAAAATTGTACGTGACTGACTTGCAAAGCAGTTTCTCTCCAGGGTCTGGCTGTTTGCAGGTGACACGAAACAAAACTAAGCTCACAGAGTTTTCCATCAAAAAACCCTTATCAAAAGACTTCCCAAGTAACTACTTTTACATCTAGATTCTCTAAATTTATCGGAATAAATGATTTGCATTCTTTATCTCCAAGTTTCTCTCGTTGCCGGAATGGTGAAGCAATTATTTTTCTACGTCAATGCATCACTTCATTACTCACTTGAGCCTGCCCTGGTCTGTATCTTGCCCCGTGAAACCTTTTCAGCCCTTCAGCCAATTCATTGATATCTATTTTACCGTCTCCATTTTTATCTAGATCTTTAAATAACCGTTCTATTCGTTCAGGATCTGATTTGTAGTGTGGTTCATCAGGACTTTCCGCCATCTTGTTTACATGAATTCACTGGTCCATTGCGCATGCTCAATATGATTCGCTTTCCAGAGTTCGCTCGCAAAGCTTCTTGGGTGTTTATGTTCATTCAACAGTATTAATTTTTTTTGTTTGCCGCCAAGATTTCCACCACATTTTATCCGCAATCAGAGACCTGGGTCGATAAAAGATATAGGTACGAATTCCGAGGAGTTCCCCAAAATTTCATACACTTTCAGCACAGTACCTCAGCATTTCTATTTCTCGAGGTCACCGACTAAAAGGGTAGTTAGGTAGCGGATATCCTATCATCATCATCATCATCATTGTTATTGCCATCATCATCATAAATAGTTGAAGGCTATAGTTTCCCAGCCCCTCCCTATCCCCTCCCCAACCGAAATCCCTGTACTAGTTTTTCGTGACAGAGCGCAAAATTGCGCAAAAAGAGAGGCATTTTGTAAAACCTGGACTGATAAATGCTGACACATCTACTTATTATTACTTTATTGATTGTCATAAATTATTTGCAACGCGTTTATTTGAAGAAAATGTAAATAAATAGAGGTTATCGGTCGGCTAATCATCTGATACGACTAAGCATCTGATATTTTTACAAGTTACGGAGTATTTTGGCGAGCCTTTAGACGAGCCAAGTGACGAGTAAAAATGCAAAGCTGTATCACATGTTTAGACTACTGATAAGTTGTTTATCATTTAATTCTGCAAATAAGTGCTCAGACTCTCTCTAGACCTTATCCGGTACCCAGCGCGAGCAGATGAGAAGTGCTGATACGACCTCATATCAGGCATGTTCTTTTCCATATCACGCACGTTCTTTGCAGAATTCAATGATAAAAGAACACAGTTTTGGAGATCAATTTTTGCTATACGTTTTTCGGGAACTTCTTAAATAAGAGCAGTGGAAGATTATAAAAGTCAAATTTTCCAAAATAGTTAAATATTTTGGTGAGCATCCGTCACCAAGTCCTGCCAGTCGGGTACCTGAAAGTGTGTGTACAAATTAAAATCATATACACAAAGGAAATTTATTAATTATGGAAACAGTTGCAATTGCGTCTAATCAACATTCCCGGCACTTTCTAGTTTAAAAATAAGGAATGAACAGCAGTTGTATATATAATGGGGGCTCCTCGTCGGGCGGATCAGGCCTAGGAATGACGTCACACTTTTTATAGCGACGTCATACCTCTTCAAATAGGTTACATATATTTTTTAGCACAGTCCCCTCTTATGACGTCATAGATCTTGAGAACCAATCAGAATATGCTACTAAGCAGCCTCCTGGATAGGTTATATCTATTTTTAGCACAACCCCTTATTATGACGTCATAGCTCCTTACAGCCAATCAGCGGTGTTGTGGAAATTTCGTTGCCACCTCTCGGCTCTCTTCGGGAAGGTCATATCTATTTTTAGCTCACTGTATTGTCTCAACTTTGGATTCGTCTTCAAACCTCTCCTCTGGATAACTAGATAAATTGTTTATATTTTTAGAACACCTCTTTTCTAAGATAGTACGATGGGTGAAATTGGTAGCCAGATATTTTTGTAAGCAATAACCTATATATAATTTTGCAATGTCCTGACATAACCCGACATGTCAAGGTCTCTGAGAGGATATGAAACACTTGTTTAATAGCTTCTGCCTCCACATGGCATCATACTGAAACCTAGCTGTTGGAAACAAATTTAAACATTGAAACAACCTGTGGGCTGGTCTAAGTCAGGGTATGGCTAACTCACAGATTGACGACGGGCACAATAGACATAGTATAGTAGTAATGAATTATGCGTTCGGTGTGTGTAATGAAATAGAGAGAATAAGAGAAAAATATCAAATGCCCTTGGCGGGAATCGAACCCACGTCTTTGGTATTCCATTCCGATTTAACCACTACCAAGAGAATATGAACTAAGATAAGGAATCCCCGTGCCCCATCATGTGCACACTTGATGCTATTTTTAGAACCTATTCTAAAAATATTATCCAATGATATCATTTATTTGATCGTTTGATTTTCTGCACGCGCATAGTACGCGCGCGCTCTACGCTGTTTGCTAACGTTTTCACGTGCTTTTCTTATGTTCAAAAGTTCAAATCTGCCCTCAAGATGACGATGTAGTTCGAAAGCTTTGGAAAATAAATGTAAAAATACTCCAGAAAGTTGAACCAAACTACTACTTGAATTTCCTGTCGTATTTGTCAAGCTTTCGACGTGCACATTCATATTCAGGGCAGAGTCGAAATAACTGCAAAACCCCAAAAACGTAAGCAAACATCGTAGAGCGCGCGCAATAAATGCGCGTGCAGAAAAACAAATGGTTTAAAAATAGCGTCAAACTGTGCACATGATGGTTACAAGGCTATATAGGGGGAATTCCTTCTCTTAGTTCATTTTCTCTTGCCACTACACCATAAGGACCAACCACGCTGGTAACGCAGCCGGAATATGAAAATGTAGGTTAACTCGTGATTTGATATTTGGGATTTGGCAATCCTTTTAAAACCATAAAAATTTGGTCTTGTTTTGACAGCTTTATTCACGCCGGTTTTGTCAAAAACGTCCAGTCGGGTCCCAAGTAGGTACGGGATCAGGTACGGGTGATTTTTTCATTGGAACCCAGGTCACCACGGTCGATGGTCCAAAACGTCCTTCCTTCGTATTCTACGGCCATTTTAAGATGGAGTTTGAGCTTTTTCCTCTGGCTGCTAGCCTCTGTAAGTGGACTTTTTCGGACATTGTGTGTATCGTAAATTTATCCCTTCGTAGCTCTGCAGAGTTAGRAACCGGGGACCGCGATTTAATGTCGAAAATTCTGCTCCGATCATGAGTGGGTCGACTCGATTTAGGGTCAGGAGTCTCCCTTGCAAATCTTATATAGAGGGAAAGGTAAATGTTTGTAAAAAATCGCTAAAATGGCTCGAAATCACTACTAAAGAACTAGGATGACGTATACAACACTTCATGTGAGTAAATATTAGCTTTTATTGATTCTATTTTTAATTTTTTTCGTTAAATTACATTCAGCTCTCAAAGCTTGTATGGGCTTCCTGTGCTTAGACCACACTACTTTGATAATGCATGTGATGACGCAATTTATCGTCAATAAGAGGACAGACACATGTCTGATGTCTGATGTCTATTTGTTTTTTAAAAATAACAAAAACAATAAAAACTTCTCCTTTTTAGTGATCAAAACAACCAACAGACATCATCTTTATCTGTCTGTCCTCTTATTGATGATAAAAAATAACCAATCAGCGCCCGAGAAATTTGTAAGTTATTGTAAAACAATAGGACGTTTGCACGATGGCGTCATTGACCTCTACTACCAGACTCCCTTGCACACTTTCTTTTGTTCAGTTAATTAGCACCAATTGTCTTACTATTCTCATGAGGGAATACAAATTTAAATAAGAAAGAAATKTCGCAAAGCATCTTGGTAGTGGGAGTCAAATGATGACATCGTGCAAACGTCCTATTCATTCAATTAACATGACTTCACTAGAACTTGACAATATAGATATCTTATAGCCTGTATTTATGTATTTATATTAACTGTTTTGGCTTTAAAGTCTGCTACAAAGGAACATGAGGTACATAGAACATAGAACATTGAACATTTTATTGATTCACACACACATAAATACATACAAGTTAGTATTCACAGGAGTAATATTAAGGAATAATGAAAGATAGTTGAAACTAAATTAATCATAAGAGAAAGAGCTAATTTATGGTGTCTGTGGTTGTCGAAATAGTTAAAACTTTCGGGTCGACAACCACCCATTGTAAGGTTAACTTTTTATGACCAAGAATATAGCTAACTGTTTACACAAGATGGAGATCTTAAGCTTGAAACTAAATTCTTTTAAACAATAAATATAGATATAATTATGATGGGATATGCTAATGAATTTAGTTTAAATTTGGTATGCAATAACACGTAAAAGATTACTGTTATTGCATTACTTAAAACTTGCAGATTAGAACTAAGTGACCTTAGTAAAACTCTTAGACTATCAACCCATTTGGACAAGTATTAAATGCATTTTAAGATTCTTTTTAAAAAGTTTGATTGAATCTAAATTTTTAATAGAGATTGGGATTTCTTCCCATATTTTTGTTATAGAAAATTCAAATGTGAACTTCCAATAATTTGTTCTGATAGAGGGACGGACAAGATTGTCTTTGGCTGCATATCGCATGTTATATGGTGATGTTCTTTAGCTAGTTTGATTTTATCTTTGAAAACCTCTGGAATGGAATGGCTAGAATTAATTATTTGATGACCAAGTATTCCTGCTTTGAATTTGAATTTTGTTAAAACATCTAGTAAGTTGTAAGACGGTAAGGCGTGTTCACATTTGTTGCCGTAAAATATTCTCCTGATACATTTGTTTTGAATCGTGTATAATTTAGTTAGATTGGATTTATATGTATTACCCCACGCCAAAGCACCATATGCTAGGTATGGGTAAATAAGTGAATAATATATGTCACGAAGAGTCTTAATGCTAACATAAAGTCTTAATTTATTGATAATACCAATATTTTTGGAGACTTCACTATGAACAAATTTAATTTGATGATCCCAGTTTAAATGTTGATCGATCGATATATAAACACCTAAATATTTAAATGTATTCCTTTTGTTCAAGCCGAGAAATATTAATCCCTGGTATGCATCTTCGAGGTGACTTTATTATCATATAATGTGTTCTTCTGAAATTCACTGTTAGTTCATTAATGTCAAAGCAGTAATGCAAGATATTTACCATTTCATCATTCATGACACGTTCAATTACGATTGGGTTTTTGTGTGAGTAAAAGATGTCGGTGTCAACTGCAAACATTCTAAAACTTAGGTTTTGTGATATGTTAGGAAAGTCATTAACGTATATAATAGAAATAATAATGGCCCAAGGGTACTTCCTTGGGGCACACCACATTTTAATAGTTTGCCGCAGGTTTGATTTAACGTTGCTGATTTTAGTGCATTGTGT